ACAATATATATGTCTGTCTTGGTTGTCTTTTTATTTCACATCACAAAGCAGCACAGCAGGCGGGAAAAACACCCTGTTCTTAACTGAGATTATGCAAATTTGCTGCTTGCCTCAGGGACCATTCTGGTGTCGAGTATCATGTGAACATGTCTGCATGTCTGGTGATTAGTTCGCAGAAACCCAACCAAAGGGTTTCCACACAAACGTTTGGTTTAATCTACGACCGGAATTAATTTTAATAGAAACAGAAAGAATTTTTCAGCCATGGTTATATTTCAGAATAACCATGAATGGATAATACTTGGAACTTATTCCAAGATTAGATTATGTTATCACTTTATTTCATGTTTCTGATGATGTTAGTCTAACGCTAACCTATAATACAATTATTGATAGTACCTCATTGCTTTCACATTATTAACAGCATACTGGGACTTTCATTCCTATCATTGTACTATAACTTTTTTTCTCCTGCCCCAAAATGTCAGTTTCAGACAGTTTTGTTTCTATTCTTGACTCTGACGTCAGAGAGAGGGGATATCCCTTAATGATCATGGCAAGCATGTGAGCACAGAAGCCACACCCACCTTTCATTCTAATCTCGTGTGTATGAACGGCAGCCAGTCAGATGAATGCCTGCTAAAACGGACCCTTCCTTTCAAAGGGGAGGAGCTTAAATGGCTTAGTTCAGACAGGGGATGAACTAAAGGCAGCAGCAAGGCCCACTTTAAGGCAGGTGAGGACTTTGAAATGTGAACCATGCAAATCTATTCTAGCAGAGTTGAAGAAGGAATATGGGGGTAAATGAGCAGAAAAAGGCACGTTAAATGTTTTCCAACTGTTCAGCCCCAAGTACACAATACTCAGATAATACTCGTGACCATTACCTGGTTGTTGCTTACATGATAGAAATCACCTCTTTATTATCAAACTCTTACAATATTACCAAGCTAACCCACAGTGCTACCATTTGTGTATCGGGTACACCGTGTGCAAAACCTGCATTTAAACTAACCACCTTCTTCTGAGGGTGCCCAACATGCAAGGCTTTTCTTTGCAAATTAGGTACTTATTGGGTTACTAAAACACATTTAAACCACCGGTTTCACCGAATAATTGGATTATGAGAATGTGAAATGGACTCCAAAGCAAAATATCACCTTGCTGCTTCTTTCAATTTCAGTTAATTTCAGGTTTTCCTGTCCATTGAGCCAACTCTCCCCTACACACCAGCCAGTGAGTGCTCCGATTACTGAGTTGTGATTTAAAGAAAGATTGATTAATACGCTTGCAGTGCTTTTAATGGTGAACCACAGTTAGGTCTAACATCAGATGGACATGGATATCATCTTATTTCAAAGATAACAACTGTGACGGTGACACACTCGGCTTCAACGACTGTCCTATAAGCAGACCAGTATAACTTCAAGGCCACTAACCATCACAGCTCCATTCATCACAGTACAGGAGAGACAGCAAAGGGCCGAGTGAGAGTTCACTCCTCCTCTCACATCTCCAGTTCAAGCTTGATGCCGCAGGAATGAAAGAAAAGCATTCAGTAACTTCCAGGCCACCCGACCATGCGTTCCTAATGTTTTAGAGCGCCGATGTGAGGAGTCTGAAGATCCCTGTGGGCGTATGTGACTAACTCACTTTCATAAAATATGTAAATTAGCAGTTTTCAGTCAAGCTTTTAACAAAAACAGCAAACTAAAGCATATCGACTGGTGTACGTCTAAGCTATGGCTCCAATAAAGGGGAATATGGAAGGTCAGCATAAAGCTGGATGGCTCAAAGTACTGGGGCTGAAGCGATGGCACGTTCATGCTAAAAATAAATATAGAGCAAGTGTAATTCAAAAGTTTCAAATCTGGATTTTAGAAAAAAAAAATCAAAATTCTGGTTCCCGGAAAAAAAAAAAAAAAATGTTGCCCATGACGCAGTTTACATGAAAGGGTGTAAAACAAACCCACACCCCTGACTGGTCACAAACACTAGATTCTCTATTTTGGTTGTAGCAAATCATTGAATTTGGGCCTTTTAGTTAATATACAAACAAATCTGAATGGGAGGGATTGTTGGAGTAAAGGTCACAGAAACATTTAAAGCTTAGAAATATAGTGTTGAAAATCAGCTGGAATCACTTGCAGGGGTTAGTAAATCCATCCATGTCTCTATGTCGAATTCTACTTTAGTAAACATCAAACTGCCTTAACAGTGCTTATCTTTGAGGTAACACAGAGCTGCTATTGTAGCTTTTGGTTGATGGTTGTACTATCCAATTTTAACCCAACACTGCAGGGAGCAGATGCTGCTCCACGGAAAAGAAGCAAGACTTGTACGGAGTGAGACGAGCCAGTGGCTCAGAAACAGCTTTTGTAGAAACTGAGAAAACTTATTGTCCCATTAGTTAGCCAGCTACAAGCATGATAATTCAAACCCCGTGTCAAAAATCAAGGTTCACACCAAATCCAGCCCTTTGCAAATTTTGACCAATTTTGGTTTTTAATTAAATTTGGCCCTAGTTGTAGCTGTGGTCTGCAGAGTGATTCTTTCACCGTGTGCGAGCTGCACTAAATGGACAGCTGAAAAACTGCTCAACTTGCAGCTAGCTCGATTTGCATCAAAATGAAAAGGTGATGCTGAGACAACTTTACTGGGTGGAAACAAAGACCTCTGTACCTTTATTTCCACAAGACAATTCCTGTGTTAAAAGAGCATAACTTGCATTGTTGCCAGCAGAGATATGGAGGCTTTTCCAGGGAACTGAGCTTCTGTTCACTGTGAACTAAAGACAGACATGCAGTTACAGCAACATGCTTCTGCGGGCTCAATCTTAAAGTTTTGGTAATGTTAATTTTTTACGTGCAGCCGACTCCATGTCAGAAGGCAGATCTTTGCAGGCCAAATAACCCATATTGTATCTGCACACAGTCACCAGGGTGCAGTGTCAACAATGTGTGGAACAGCTTGTAATATAAGCATTCTTGTTAATTTAATGCTGTTCCTGGTCATTTACCTGAGCCCCATGCCTGAGAGATAACAGATCATAATATACGAAGAACGTCTTCTTCCTAAGCCAAAAACATTTACAACTGTCTGTTGAAATCACAGTTTGTGCTTTAAATTGTACTTTTTTCTGACCACTGACATTTTTTCCACAGTTCTGCCTCCTGGTGGTGGGCTCAGTCGTCTTTACCTTTTCTGTTCAAACCAACTCTTCAGCCAGTCAGTATTCGACGTGTGGATAAGACGGATGCAATGTCTTTGTTGGACTGTGCACATGTCCATCTCCATAGCCTCAGTGGTTCAAATCTCATATCCTTCTAAACTCTGCACCGCCAAAAAGCTACACAAAGAAAAGCCAATCAAATGGAGAAGATGGCTGCTCCTCCCTAACCCTGGTTCTGCTGGAAGCATCTTCCTGTTAAAATGGAGATCTTCTTCCCCACAGCCTCCAAGCGCTGCTCATCTCCTTATCTGATCATTGTGGTTTTCTCTAGTATTAGGTATTAAGAGCTTTACCTTACAGAGTAAAGCACCTTGAGATGACTGGTTTTGTGAACCAGCTCTAAGTAAAACTGAACTGGACTAATCAGAGGTTTTAAAAAAAGTATATCCGAATGTTTTCTACAACTAGTTAGGTGGTTATAAACATCACACGCAGTCGATCATACGAGTCCAAGGCCAACAGCTTCTTTGTTTGCTCCTCCAGTACAATGGCAGCTAATTCATGCAGCACTGTGAAAGGAGGCAGCACATCAAATGAAAAGATAGAGACACACTTAAATATATAAAACCCAAAAATGTCATTCAGGCACATCTGTAACTCATTTAGTTACAGACGTGTCAGACCTGTCTTCATAAATATTATGGGAAATCTGTTTTTTGGTTTAAATTTTCAGTTGAGCTTCATCTCTATACGCCACTTAAAACGTCTTTCCTGATGTCATTTCCCTCTTTTCTTTTCTTGTTTTTTGTCACATGTATACAGTTACAGTGCTGGATGCTCATATTAAATATGGCCAAAGTTTCACATCAATAGATCAGCATATGCTGAACAGAGAGGAGCTGAAAAAGCAAAGTTAAACAAAAGATAAGTTGGGTTTTTTGAACTGGGAATCATGTGAAGCTCCAGTTGAGCCTCGGAACAAGAACATGATGCTGGAAATGAGCAGAATGCGTCCTCTTTAACCAACATGCTGCTGTATTGTAACTGACCAGTATTTATTAACAGGACCAACTCTGCAATGAGAAAAGGATCCGATTTCCATTTCTGCCTTCCATCACCGCGCACGACACATGAAATTTCGATTTCACTGTCTAGGAAATTTTAAAACCGTTTTCAGTCAGCGAGTGTAATTTCTTTTAAAAGAATGCGACATGAAAGGTGCCACCGCAGACCACAGCCTACACACGACACCAAGGGAAAAATCCTATGTGCTCATGAAGAATGCAGTTTGAAAGAGTAGCTTTAATGATGACTCAGAAAGAAAAGTGAACACTTGAGCTGTTTGCGTTGTGTGTAAACAGCTTCTGTCCTCCCTTTGCAACCCCTCCCCTTAGTGTACACACAACACACACACCAAAGAAAAAAAATGGTGCTTTGCAGTCAGCATGTGTCTCGACTTCCTTCCTCCCTCTCAGGAACAGTTATCACGCCACAACAACAAACAATCGCACGCGGGAAATTAAATACAGCTGGTTGAGAAGCGAAGAAAGGCGCACAGCATGGCTGAAGATGTCCTAACCGCCGGGACCCTGAGATCCGGGTTTAACAGCACACATGAAACTCATAAACGCAAAAGTGACCTGTTAGTCTCACACTGAAGCTGCTTCATGTGCAAAAGCTGTGAATTTGGCGCATGTCAGCCATCACATATCAAAAGTGCCCCAAACTGAATCAAGCTTTCTAACTGCAAACCCTCCCGCAGGGACCATCAACAGGTGTGCATCCTCGCATCACACAACTCCGCACGCATATCATAACGTGAACTTACACAAACGCGTGGTAGATGAACGCCCAGGCTCTCGGTCTTTCCAGCACGTTGTACAGGTAGTTCTGAAGCCGCCGGTAGCGCACGTTTCTCCGGCCGCTCTGGGTGCTGTATAAGAGTGGCTTCCCCAGCAGGCTGAGCCGGGCTCCCTGCTTCCCCCTCGCGTTGTCGGACCCGGCAGCACCTGCGGCGCCGGGGGCCGACAGCAAGCCGTCTCCTGCGTTGTTCATCATCTTTCCGCCGGACTCCACATCCTTCAAGCCGTAGCCTTCGGTACGGTGCCCCGGTGAGGTCCTCATCCAGAGCCCGGTGCCGCCTTCGTCTCCGCTGTGGTTCCGGGGCATGGCATCACCAAAGCGGGCGTCAAGTGAGCGCAGGTCTTTTCAAGCATGCGTCTCCCGACGCCGGTAGTCCCGCCGTGCACGAACAACAAACTGCACGTGTGACGGGCACCCCACCAGAAGCCGAGCTGGGAGTGAGAGCAGCGCGCGGCGCACCGTGTGCCGTCACTCCTCTGACCGCCCTCTTTCTCGCTCCGCGTTTACACAACGGCTCCCGCGCGTGAAAGTATCCACGCCGCGTGTCCTGTGCTGGCTCGCACCAAAATCACAAGTTACAGATGTCACGAGGAGAGACGTCTCTCGCTTCACCGCCTGTTGCTTCCACGCACGCCTCTGCGTCCACGTGCACAGGCGCATCAGAGCTGCCCTCGCGCGACGGCTTTATCTTTATCACACTTTGTCGTCGCTGTGGCGATTGTGTCTGACTTTTACATGCTGTTTAAAGAAAGAAGCGTCCACTCTGAGTTGTTTTGTCTTCGCGCGCCAGGACAGCAGACATGCAAATGAGGAACCGTCGCTCCTCGTGTAATTCGATTTCCTGAAGAAGTTCAAAATTACACCCGGTTGTTGGTTTTTTAAGTCTATCAGGTAACTCGGGTTCTGCAGAATTTTCCACTTTCTGTGCTGGAAAAGTAACCGCAGAGGAAGGCGCAGTGAACATCTGCAGAAAGTATTACGATTCTTTATTCTTTATTACACGTTTTTATGGTTTGTCTGATCACTCTGATCACACTGGCACAGTAAAAGCCTTTGAGTGTCACCCTTTTCTTTTCAAAGCTGCTCTGTCATCTGCTGTCCTGCTGTCACCGCAACCACGTGGCACCAGAGACGCATAATTTCTCGGCCGAAGTGCATTTTGAACCTGTCACGCCGTCTGTTGTGTATCTGTCTCGGTGCTGCACTGACATAACAGCCCGACATAAACTCAGAGACGATTCTGAACTGCGGGGGTCCTGAGGCTGAATGGAATCAACCCGGCCTGTTGTTTCCTTTGTGTCACTGCAGCCACGCTGAACACTGCCTTGGTTAGAAAATGTCACGTCAGTTACGTCTCGTGTGTGAACTTCCTCTTCTGTTCACAATCACACAGGCTGAATATTCTTATAAGCTGGCCCCACCGTGAGTCCAAGAAGAGGCCCCCCCTCAGGAAACAGAGGAGAGAAACGGGGAATAGAAAGGGGGAGCATATTTCTCCTATATTGGTTTCCATTTATTGGCTCCCTGTTAAATCCAGACTTGAATTCAAAATCTTGCTCCTCAAGAATAATCAGGCCCCATCTAACTGTATCACCCTATTAGAGCACTTCGCTCTGGCACTGCAGGCCTACTTGTTGTTCCTAGAGTATTTAAAAGTAGAATGGGAGGCAGAGCCTTCAGTTTTCAGGCCCCTCTTCGGTGGAACCAGCTTCCAGTTTGGATTTGGGAGACAGACACTATCTCTACTTTCAAGATTAGGCTTAAAACTTTCTTTTTTGCTAAAGCATATAGTTAGGGCTGAATCAGGTGACTCCCAAATCCCCCCTTAGTTATGCTGCAATAGCTGTAGGCTGCCGGGGGATTCCCATGATGCAAACAGTAATTCTTCTTTACACCTCTCTGCATTGAATCATTAGTTGTTAATGTTGTTAATCTCTGACTCTCTTCCACAGCATGTCTTTTGTTCTATCTTCCTCTGTCACCCCAAGCGGTTGCAGCAGATGCGACCGTCTCCCACGTTGTTCTCTCCCTGAGCCGGGTTCTGCTGGAGGTTTCTTCCTGTTAAAAGGTCATTTTTCCTCCCACTGTCGCCAAAGTTCTTGCTCATGGGGGGTCATATGATTGTTGGGTTTCTCTCTGTATGTATTATTCTAAGGTCTACCCTACCATATAAAGCGCCTTGAGGCGAGTGTTGTTGTGATTTGGTGCTGTGTCAATAAAATTTAATTGAATTAAATTTCTGAATATGAATGAGGTGTGAGTGTGTGTGTGCCAGTGGTAGGCGTCAGTCCCATCACAATTTAAGAAGGTCAGGTAGCACCAAAGTGCATCTTCTGCTGTTTTTGATCCATTGATTCTGCAGCAGTTGCTTTATCACCCTCAGAACTCAACTCTGCTCTGTATTCCTACAAAACTACTCCATCTACTGGTGCATCGGGCAGTCTTTCTCAGTGATGGAAGAGTGGCACCAGCAGATTCCAGACACAACATCAGAAGAGTGCAGTCCTGGGAATGATGATTATGAAGCATTATGAAGCAAGCGGCACTGAAAACGGCTTCATTTTGAGCTGCAAATGATTCTGGTTCTCATTCAGCTTGACATTTAACAATAAATTTCGCATGAAGCTGTTTGCTCAGATGAGTTTCAGCTTACCGTTCCCATCTTCATGTTACCTGGCACAAAAACCCAAAGGGTGGGCATATATAAACTGGTTTAAATTAGAACAACCAATTTAATTAAGGGCTCAATGTTTTTAAAGCCTGAAATGTTTAGTTTTAACTGATAGGTGATTTTTTTAATTAAATGTTGCATTAAAAAGTTGAATAAAGACCTTTGTTTTGAGCCTTTTACTGGTTTTGACCGCAGTCATAATGAAAACCCATCATCATTTAGCTTTTTTCATTACTCATCCTATGTCTTGATTACTATGTTTATGTGACTCATTTCCAGAGCTTCCTAATAGCAGCTCAGTTTCTGTATGAAATGTGTTGATCTGAAATGTACCGACCACCAGTGATAGGAAACATGAGTAGAGTCCTCCTCCACAATTATTTATTTATTTATTTTTAAATTCCAACTTCAAAGCCAAAATCTAAAGAATATTGCAGCATATTTTGGACCCATGATTGGATAGAAGTATGAGTATTAAATCAGCCACAGTTTGAACAAAGCAATAAAAATGCTCTACTGTAAATAAATTAAAAAAAAAAGAGTACATTTCAGATTTACTTTTTCCCATTTTGTTAACAGAAATATAACTTAAGCCAAATGTAACACCTGTGTAACCACGTTCAGTTACACCTCAGTGTAACTGGCTGGCTCAAACTACCCCTCAAAGGAAAGATTGTATGACAATTTCACATGACTCCAAAACCCTGATTATAGCCGTGTGAACTCTAAAATGAAGTGCTGGAAACAGACAAAACCCTAACATGGTCAGACTGTGCAGTAAGAAAGCACCTAGAAAGTTTAGAGAGGAAAGGACTAGTGTTAGGAGGGTCATAATCTAAGATTAAAGATGAGAAAATGTATGTTTGTAGGCTCAAAACCAGAAACACGTCACCTTAAAAGATCAGTATGAGAGCACACAGCCTAAAAACCCACGCAATCACAAGTAAATGCAAAACTATTGTTTCCAGTGAAGCCACTTAAATAGAGAGAGGCCCAAATTACTCAGGTGTGTACTGTTTCCTGATGTCCTTCCATTGTCTGCTCATTGGCTCCTGAACCAGGAGGTCAAACCAGCCATACAAGCAGCAACAGAGTATTTCCATTAGATTTCACTTTAATAGTTATTTTTAAAGGTGATGCTTCCTTCCTTTTCCTGTCATATATATTATGATAGTGGATGATTATATTAAACAGATCCAAAGTTCCAAATATCCTGTCGGCCCCGCCCCTCCCTAAGCCTGGTTTTGCTGGAGGTTTCTTCCTGTTAAAAGGTCGTTTTTCCTTCCCGTTGTCACCAAAGTTCTTGCAGATAAGGAGTCATATGATTGTTAGGTTTTTCTCTTTGTGTATTATTGTAGGGTCTACCTTACAATATAAAGCGCCTTGAGGTGTTGTTGTGATGTTGGTGCTGTATAAATAAAACTGAATTGAATTGAAATAACGAGGTCAGTCTATATTTAGGTATATATATATATATACCTATATATAGACTGTATAGACCTATATATAGCTCAAACCTATATATAGGTTTGAGCAACACCGCGCATTCTTCAGACTGCTCTAAACATTTGGAGAGTGAATGTGCCTCATCTGGTCATTACTGATCTCTGGCTCTAGGAAATCTCTGGCTGTGAGGAGAGCCAATCTACTTCCTGTTAACCCCATTGTATAGGAACTAACTTCCGCTCTAGCTGAGTGTTGAACAGGACAAAAAGAAATCCCACAGTTTATTTTAGACACTAGCATTCTGCTAATGTGTGTTTCTGTATCTCCATGCATGCAGAGGAGCAGGCGACTGTGGTGACTGAAAACGCTGCAGCTATAAAATTTCAGCTGCTGCTCGCTTCATGCCTCAAATAAAAATGGCAGAAGCTACAAATTGCTTTATGGTGGTATGATGTCCCTAAAACTCACAGAAAGGTATTTTTGGACAATAAAAAACAATTGTCTCAACCCTTCCATCAAAATGTATTTATCAATGGACTATTTCAGAGGAAGTACGTTATTGTAAAAGTACTCTGCTGTGAGCACAAAAGCCCCACCCCCCTGCTGTAATTCCTCTTAGGAGGCGCAGTGAAAGATGGCTTTTAACAACTTGTTTCAGACAGAGGATGAAGTGTGGCACTGAAACAAGACCCAGAATGAGATAAATTAGCATTGTTTTGAACTGTGGGTCATACACAGCTACTCTGATAGAGTCCAAGAATAAAAATACGAGGCTGGAAATGGATAATCCTTTTATGCTGGTGTTCTCTTTTATAAAAATCTGCACCCTTTTTAATCCCACTTGAGAAGAAATAAGTTGTAACATGTTTTGCTGGAGGGAAAGCAGTGGTAAACTTACAACCCAAACTATCACTGGTCTCACGTCATCTCATCATGTGAGATGGTTTCTGGGTCCTGAACCTCATGCCGACAGACTCTCAGACTGTTTTTCCCGGCATCGCTCGGCTCACATGAGCCTTTCTTTTCCCAAAGGTTTTGTTTGTTTAATATTTTACTTGGGAAGCCCGTCTTCATGGATGATATTAAAAGTTAACTTTGAAATGTTTGTATTCCACATGAACTCATGGTTTCTTTTCCACCAATGTATGACCTTTGACTTTATTAGATAGATTAATCTTATTCCTGGGAGCAGCATGGAAATTTTATAGTGGCCTCTGACATGTGTGATCTACATGTGTCTTTTCCACGATGGTCTGTGTCAATGTTTTATACAGGCAGGTTATGACCCCTGATGCTGCAGCACAGAGGGAGCCTGGGGGCCCGGCTGCCAGGGCGAGGGTGGTGGGCGGGTCAGTGTAGATTGCCTGCAGATGTTGTTTTTGGGGGATCCTGTGGTTACTTAACAACAAGTGGAGCATAAATCTCCCAAGCTCTGTGTTGTATAAGAAACAGCAGATCCTTTTTGGTTAGATGGATCGCAGTGGCAAGACTGTGATGGTGTTGTATGTAGTACCACATGGTTGTCATGTGACTTTATTCACAAACAGAGCACTTAAGAACCTAAAATTGTCCTCCGTTCTCTCATCTCTGGTCTATGAGACTTTACTTTGCAGAAGCCGTCTGTTTACAGGTTCCACTTTAAAAAAACAACAACATTTCATTGTTAAAATTTTATTCACAGCATGTCTTTTGTCCCGCCTTCCTTCTCTCACCCCAACCGGTCACGGCAGATGGCCCCGCCCCTCCCTGAGCCTGGTTCTACCGGAGGTTTCTTCCTGTTCAAAGGAAGTTTTTCCTTCCCACTGTTTGTCTCTGTATGTATTATTTTAGGGTCTATCTTACAATATAAAGCACCTTGAGGCGACTGTTGTTGTGATTTGGTGCTGTATAAATAAAACTGAATTGAATTGAAATGGTGTATTGAATTAGAAAAATACCACTTAGGTGAAGGAAAGCAGCCTTACATGTATGTCTATACTGTGTGTGCTGAAGAACATATCTTGGTCTGAAATTACGCCAGTGTTCCTCACAGGATCACTCGAGGCCAAAGCCACCTGGTTAAATAACATCACAACTTTAGGGATTTTTGCATTAAAAAAAGACTGAAAACTCATTACATAAGAACCTTTTAGAAAATCTTTCTGGTATATCATGTGGTCACAAACTGTATTTTATTTGCTAAAATATCTTGGTTGTTTGAGGTTATAGCGCTTTATAAATAGTTGCTGCTCCCTTTCCAGAAGGCGTCATCACACTGGTTACCACCGCATGTTTGATTTGGCAGACTTTATATTGGATGCCCTTCTTGACCCAAACAAAAGCATGAAATAACAAAAAAAAGGAAATAAGGACGACATAATCAGTGCAACACATATTGATAAAAACTGCAGTTTCTCTTGTGGCCACTCAAGACTGACTTCTAAAGTGAGTCACTCTCCATAGACTACCTTGTTGAAATAGCCAACTTTAGAGCAAAAATTATCATGCTTACTGCTTGCTACGCAAATTATTTTCCACTCCTTGATCAATTTATTCCTTAATGAGAACTGTTTAGGTATAAATATTACTATATTAATAATTATTAAGTAATATTACTATTACTCACCTGTTTAAACTTTATTAGCCACGTGTTTGTCTGAGTAACAGATAGGACACTAACGGTCTGCTAGGATTAACCTCAGCTAACTGAGCTCACCGAACTGGACATGTAGGCCATGTTGATTGCTGTAAGAGCTACTAGTATGGTCTGACTACTGTTTAGATTCCTAAGCTGTTCTCTGCACAGACAAGTTAGTACGATGACCATGGCGCATAAAAGTCTAGAATTTTGTTGTGCATGCTACTGTACATAGCACTAATTAGCGGGTATGTCCAGCAATAGACCCATAGAGTTGGTTAGCATTTGCTAACCAAACTAGCTAGCGTTAGCAGATAGCTCATCACCTTCTCAACTGAGTAAAAGGGGGGGAAAGCACATGTTGTTCTTTTATATTGTATCTAGAACTGATGAAAACACTTGAAATATGTTTTTATGAACTGTAATAAATTTACTACGGTGGGAACAGTGATGGCCCTCTCTCTCTAAAATAATGCTACTCTGCTCAGAGATGCACAGACTGAGAATAAATATTAGCTTTCCCACAAACAAGGCACCCTGGCCTTTTGACATCATGTCAAATCAGAAAATTAAAAAATAAGCATGAGAAAGACTCAAGGAAAACATTGGTATTTTTTTCCACACATTCTTTTTTATTTGTAAATCATAAAAATGAAATTTTTTTATATATATAAAACATACACATCATTTGAGCCACATCTGTTATACAAACAAGAAATGTTGCAGTGAATGCTTTACTTTTTTCTGATTTTCTTGTTTCAGTGGAACACAGAAGTTGTAAACAATCAGCAATTTTTTCTCCTGTTAATACTGACAAGGAAAAAAAACCTAAATAAATAAGGAAAAAAACAGCTTCACTGGACAATGAAAAGAAATCTGGAGTGAGGCGGGACTGAGCATGGCGGGCCGGGCACAGACGCAGAGTTCGAAGAAACAGAGAAGTGTTCAGACGAGGACTTTCAGACCCATCGCCGTCCCACAGCACGGTCCCCTCGTCACCTAAAGTACTAATCGCTCCTTATTATAAGACTTGGCCCCTTTTCTCAGTGAACCAAATGAAAACCCCGGGAATAGTGCTGAGTATTTACAGGGTGCGACTTTCTGTGCATCTGAGTTTATTCTCCGTGTCGTTTGAAATCATTATGTTGAAACATAATTCATATTTTCATAGATCTGATTTGTACATATTTATTCATACATCGTCCCAGCCCCTCGGAGGTATACTATGATGTGGAATAACAGTAAGAGGGGCTGCGAGGTCTGCTCAGTACAGTACAGTACATCTTCCAGAGACATCAATGTAATCTTGGGATTCGGTTTGAGAGATATTCAGCACCGGACTGAAGGACGTGGACTGGACTGCAGTGGATTTGGATGTCTTTGCGTAATGGGAATGGCTTCAGTTTCTTGGTTTTATCTCTTTAATATTCAAGTACGAGCAAACTGTACAACTGCATGCAACATACAAGCGGCCCTACAGTATGTGGAGCTAACACGCGTATCTAGATTTTTTTTGTTTGTTTGTTTACAAAAATGTGCATGCAGCTTGGAACGGGTTCCAAAGTCATGCTGCCCCTCCCCCTCTGGGTGGGAGGAGCCTGCAGGCCGGACGGAGGATGAGCGTTGGCGTCCCGACGGATCGATCTGATTGGCCCACATTCACCGAGATGCACGAGGAAAAAACTGTGACAATATTTGTTGTTCTGTTTGCCTCCGAACGTCGAGACGAAACGATGAAGAGAACCGGTGACGGGAGGATTGCTGCTTTTTGTCCTTTTTTTTGTTTTTGTTTTTTTTAGGTATGTATTATTTTTTTTCTTCAAAACGTTAAACTTTTTGTTGTAAAAAAATCAAGCTCTTGTGCTTGTGTTTAAATTTAAAAAGAAAAAAATGTTGAACTAAAGATTGGATAAAAACCTTTAACATGCCGGGAGGGAGGGAATGTGCCTCCCAAAAAATGTGAAAAATTAGACGCCCCTGTCTCGCTCTCACATAGGTGAACAAAGATTTCCGTTTTCTTTTTTTTACATTGACATTGTACCCTTGTGATATTTCAAAGTGACATAAATTTTACTTATTGGTCAACCTCCTGGGAGGCCTAATATACAACTATACAAAGACGACTGGCCTGCACGCTTGCCAGCAAAACAACGCTAATCTCACATGTAAAAATCTAACCTGTTCCCCGCCCTCTTCCTGCATAACACTTGCAGACATTTAATAGCTTCTTTTTTTTTAATCTCTTGTATTTTATTTTTACTCTCCATGCACACACCAGACTGACAACATTATCATGAGCATTTTTAAAAACATCTTGTGCCAGTAGTAACGAAGGGAAAGAAATGAACAACAAAGCAAACACGCTGAAACGGTGCGGCTTCAGAGCAGCCATGGTAAACATATTGAAAAGAGGATCTTTCCACAGAGAGGGGGGGACCAGTAATGCGGCTCCGAGGTCTAGGCACCAGAAGAAGGCCCTGTGCTTCCAGACTGAGCACCCCGTCCCCCACGCACGGCGGGGACGGGAATACCAGCAGTCTGTTGGGGTTCTGGAGGAGGCCACTGCAGGGAGCGCAGCGCCGCCTGCAGGAGCGGAGGGTGATTACCTCTTGTCTCGAGTCCATACATTCCGATGCTTTACATACATTTCTTTGCTATTGTTGATTCGGTTAAAAGCCACCCTGCTTCGTTTGGATTCTCTGGTACTGTCTGGACAGCTGCTGCACGGCTTCTTCAGCACACACAGAGAAAACACAGAGACTTTTCCTCGAATGGACATGAAACACTGAAATGCGACGCTCCCTACGACAGACAAAATTAACCGCGGCAGGAGTGATTGTCAGATTTCAACAAAGCTTTCTCGTGTTTCTGATTGTTGTTGTTCTACATTTCTGCCGTTAGTATTTCATTTCTCTCCGAGTTTTAGTTTTAGTTTTTTCTCGGTGGTGTAGAGCTGTTTGTCCACTAAGATCGGACCCCGGGCGGTCCGGACGAGCTGTCGAGAGACGACTGAGAAGCTCGTCGCGTCAGGGAGGCAAGTGTCGGATCCACCAGAGAGGATGGTGGGAACAGCTTGTACCAACCGATGACTGTGCTTGATAAGTCCAGCTCCTCCAATAAGATTTGTGCAACTCCCATGAAACTTTTATGGTCCATGCGGCCATAGTCTCCCCATACAATCACCTGAAGGAAAAAATAATTTCACGTTGTCATGTTGCTCTGCTCGATTTCCGTCAGCATGAAGTAGGAGGTGGGGAAGCATTTAACTTTGTGATGAAGGGAAATAAATCTCCTGCTTACCTGTAACACTTTCCCCTGCGGGCTCTCCTCAAATAGCAGTGCTTGCTGGTACAGTGGGTCAAGTGTTTTCCGTGCAATCTTGGTTTTCTTTTTGGCTACGTACGCTCCATTATTCAGCAGATAGACTTTGACATATGGAGCTGACGGCAGAAACAGAGCAATAAAAAAAGCCATTAGTGGGAACACTATCGGCTCTCAGGGCTGGTTGTACGAACGCAAAGAACAGGTGAGCTTGAGTCGAGTGTATATACTGGATTATAATAACATGTGTGTGAGTGATGGAGGGATTAGTTGGTCTGTGGCGGCTTCAGTCAGGTTGGGCTCTTACCAGGGAGAGATTTGGATCCTGGCTTCTGTACAAGTCCTCGTGCTCTGATCACCTCCACCTCCAGCTGACCCTTTTTCTCCATCATACCGATCTGGATATCACCTAAAAAACACAGCACAAAAAATAAGAAAACAAAGAGCTCAACACCAACATCTACTACCGACAGGAGCGCAGACTTAATGCATAGGTAACACTCTCAGCCTGGCACAATTAAATTGATCATCATCAACAATAACAATAAAAAAGAACAAGATTAAGTACAAATAATCATAAGAAACAATAAAAATATAAAATTAATAGTTATAAGAACATGAAAACAGTCTCTCTTTCTCCCTCCCTATGTCCTGATTGTCGTGTGCACTCATGTGCTGAACATTGCTGCATTGTCCTACTGGAGGACTTAAATGCTCACATGGGCAATGACAGAATGATCTAGAGGGGTGTGAATGGGAGGGACTGGCTGCACCGCAGTTTCTCCAAATTGAACACGATGTTCAAACATGAGCGTGTCCAAAAGTCCACGTGGCACCAGGACACCCTGCGTCACAGGTCAGTGATTCATTTTTGCACTTCACCACCTGTTGGTGAGTTGCATCAGGTGGCAATGGAAGATGTTGGACAGTGAGGGTGAACTTGGCAAAGGCCAGAGTGTCAAGCTCTTCAGCTCTCACTTTGAGCAAAACTTTAACAGCATTCTGTGGAAAGCGGACCCTAGTGTGGCGGTAATCCCTGAATCAGATGAACAGCAGAGGTTAAAGGAGCCATCAAGCAGTGGGAGGGAATCTATCAAGCATGGTGAGCAGAGGCAGCTGACAGGTACCAACAGGCCAAGTGGATTGCAGCTCTTGCAGTACCAAAAAACTCAGGTATGGGAGGAGCTCAGCGAGGCCATTGAGCAGGACTTTTAGTCGACCTTGAAGGAAGTCCGGCAAATCGTCAGGTGACTCGAGTGGCGTGGACAGCTCCCTGCAAACACTTTTTATAGCAGGGATGCAACTCTGCTGACTTCACTCAGGACATAGTTTGGTGGTGTGAGGAATACATCAAGGATCTTCTCAGCCCCACTGACAGACCTTCTGCAGTGGACACAGTGAATGGGGCGAATGAGATTTTCCCTGAATTTCTCAAGGCTATGTGGCCTGAGGATCTTGTGCTTGATTTTCGTAGATGATGTAGCTCCGCTGGCTTTATCAAGCAGTGACCTCCAACTTGCACTGGGGCAGTCTGTGGCCCAGTGTGAAATGAACCACGTCATGCTGGAAAGATCACATTTCTCGGCTGACTCGGGAACGTCTTCCCACCTGAAGAAGTGGAGGAGAGGCTGGGAAGATGGAAGACTGGGATTGTCTGCTTAGATTGATGCCTCACGACCAAGAGAAGAGGATGAATGGCACAATCAACATTTAAAATAAAATACCAGAAATATCCAAAATATCTCAAAGAAATTCATGCTAGAAATACTCAAGACACACAAAAATACAAAGTAAAGTAGCAAAAACATTACAATACTAATGATTTCTGACTTTTTCTGGCATTTTCTGATTCATTGTTAAAGGCAAAAAAACCCTTCACAACATCTATCCATGCATGCACAAATAAAGCTTTAAAAAATACCCCAAATAATTCAAAAGAAGAGAGAAGAGGTTTTGTACCGATGGCAGGAGTAGCCAGTGTTTGTCTTCCCACTAACTGAGCTGGTCCGAGTCCATCCAGGAAGTCACTGAATTGACTGCTGGCACCTAGATTCACTCCAGAAAAGATCAAGCTACCACAGAAAACACAAAACAGCCCATTATTAACTCTAAAAATCACCAACCTATATACAAATGTGTCATCAGTCTTGCTGATGGCCCCACTCAGTCAGCACATGTGGTGGATTCACTTTGCTGCCTCCAGGAGAATTTCACTTGCACTCATTATTTATAACAAGAAAAAATATCTACGTGATTGTCCAAGCGACAGAAAACACCCGGTCTTAATTTGACTCTGTCTGAGTTTTGGTTTTATCGTCGCCTCACACTCTCCACGCTGACTCATTTTTAAACTGCGTGCTCGTTATATTAGACTGTGTTTACTCTCAGTCGGCCAACACATACAGAAATACCCGCAGGCGGGAATGGATGTCTCCCTCAGAACATGCTGACATGCAGTCATTACTGTCACTCTAACTCATTTCATTCAGGACGTCTTTGTGACACAGAGAGTGCAGATGACGAGTAGCAGAGGGACGGGTTTACTGACTTCCCCTCAGAGTTGCAGCTGTTCATGCTGCCGTTGTTGGACTCTCTGCTGGGCTGCCGGCTCATGTTCCTCGTCAGCTCCACGGCCATGCCGGTCTCTGTGCTCCTCTGGATGGACGCTCCTTTCTCCTTCTTACTCTTCCCCTCTGGAGGTAAACGAGAGCGAGAGGAAGAATCATCAAGCAGACAATATTTTGATAACAGACTCCAGTGAAGGAATGGCTCTTTTCTTTAAAACCAATACCACAGGAAAGTTGTTAGGCTGAAGCTATAGATACTTACAACAATTAGGAGTGATACATTCCCCTCCCACAATTAAAACATGAACAAAGCAGAGGATATTTTTATTTATATGGCACCACTGCACGTTTTATATTGTTCATGGTTTGCGTTTGCAGATGGCCCCGCCCCTCTCTGAGCTTGGTTCTGTTGGAGGTCTCTTCCTGTTAAAAGGGAGTTCTTCCTTCCCGCTGTTGCCACGTGTTGCTCATATGGGGACATTTGATCATATTTGTTTCTATAACTAATATTGCAGTGTCTTTGACCTACAATATATACAAATAAAACTGAATTAAGAAGCAGATGGCTAGGATGGATGGATTTGTGTCATTTGGCTTTAGGTATCATCTGCATAGCAATGAAAATGTATCCAGTGCTCTGTAATACTATTATTGAGGGGAAACATGTATAATGTAAAAATAGTGGTCCAAACATTGAGATCTGTGGAACGCTCCTCGTTTAAATCAACAAAACTAAATTTATGAGATATGTAGGATTCAAACAAAACACCAGTGGTGCGTCTGAGTTTGTAATTTCGGATCAGTTGTGTGTGCTGTACTGAGGACGAGCAGGACAAGCACAGAGAGGAGTCCACTGTCAACGGCCATAAAACGATGATTTGTAACCTTCACTATAGCTGTTTTAATGCTCCTCTAGATCATCATCCAGCTGCTTGACAACTACTCTTTGGAGAATCTTTGAAATAAAAAGAAGGTTAGAAATTGGCCTATAATTAGCCAGATGGAGACAGATGGATCAAATAAGAGCTTTTTAGGTAATGGTTTAATTATAGTGCTCCTTAAAAACACAACACAGCAAATGCACATCAAAATGACGTGAGAAAAGTTTGGAGACATTATCTTAATGTTTTTAAGTATAGATCGCATTCAAATATCCGGAGACTCAGACTCAGTTCACGCTTTACACGAACATTTTAAGCCTTGAAGGAGATGTGCAGTCGTGCACTGCTCTTGCCTTTGTAAAGAAAACTGTAACTTGTTCTTGAAAGGTGCTACTGTTTTTAAATAAAGATATTATTATTCTTGGTAGTCCCTTATCATGAGTGATTACTCAAATGACCCCACAAAGTGATTCATCTAGAAGGTGGAAAATCCCAGAGTATCAGGATTCACACAAAGATTTTGCTGTTGTGGTTTTGGAGTTTGGTCTAACTTAGAATAATGTTTCTGCATTTTCAGAGGACAGAGTTCACTCAGTGGCCCAAACAGTAAACCATTCATAAGTTAGACAAAGCTGAATATCACAAGATAGCCCACAGATCCAGTTCAGGACTGTTTGATCTCGCTGTCTGAACCACGGTCAAAGTTGCGCCCATGTTCTGTAGAATCTGTTCACCAGCAGTAAACAGGAAATTGTTGGGCAGAAAAACAGCCAAAAACCCCCACTGTGTGGCATCTCGGACAGGGGCGCGTCTGCCTTCTGACTCATGATGTTGGAAAACAACATTTCTGAGCCTCCCATTATCCTGTGTCTAAAATCTCACAGTAAATAGTTTAGAAAATACAAGTGAGCCTCTCTTACCTGCACTCGGCGTCATCCATCATGACCAAGAGAGACTTTTTTACATTAGGCTGATGTTCGTCCTTTCTCTACTTCCTCTCTCCCCTCTCTACATCAGTGGCAGTGGGCGAGCGACCCCCTGAAGGCCTAATATTCTCTAATAGCTTTTTATGCCCTCTGCAGAGAAGAGAGGTACAGCATTTGGCTTTCATTGTACATGCCCCGGTGGTGGAAGTGGATGCTGGGCTCGGACGAGCCCCACTCTTTTGTGTGACCGCGAGCCGAGCTGTGGTTGTTTGTCTTTATGACGAGCGCTGGGCCAGCGACAGCAGCAGAAGTTTGTCTTTTACAGAACAAAAGGACACTTTCAATTTGCGGTGCTTGGGTACAGTCTGTACCTCGGGACAAAATGCAATGAATATTTCTGTATGGATGTGGTTGTTATTAGCTTAGCTGTAGCTTAAGGGTTCAAACCTGCATTCTCTAAGTCGAAGTGATCGCACACAGTAGTTTAACGGTGCAGCTGCTGTTTTAACCATATTTTCTTTAGAGAAAACCAACAAGAGAAATCACCTAGACTCCTGGGTTTGGTTAAATTAGATAATGTAATCAAGGTTTGCACTTTGCATGTCCTTTTGTAGGCAAAAATGAAGAATCTGGAAAAGTATAGAGTCATATGACTAAAACATTTGGGGATGCCCAGACCTCTGCCCCTCCTGCAGGCAGCAGGCCCACAAGAGAGCGGGCCTGTGTAGCTCTTTTGGGAAGAGCCCAATAAATAATGACATAGAAGTCACAATCCAGCGTGCACAGCATTCAGTTTGTCAGTGAGCAGCTCAACGTTAAAATCTCACAGCATAACTGCCCCCACAGGGACTTGTATTTAGAAGAACAAACTACTTTTCTTTACATTTAGCAGCTCAAAGAAAGAAGGTATGAAGGAATCTGAGTAGTTTGCTTCTCATGCATCTATTATGCATGAGAAGCATGACAGTGCCGACCTGAGGACAATAAAATAAATTCACTTGAGAAAAATGAACCGTGTGATTCTTCCAAGGTGAGCACGAGTTTTTTAACTGGACTCAAATAATCTTGACAAAGATTTTAATGTTGCAAAGTTTGTGTCTGTCCTTCATATACAACCCACTGAACCAGCACAAGAAGGAAAATATTAAAGGAAACACTGAAAGACTTCAGCTTCTGCAACAAGTCGATTCTTTGTTGTCCTCGTTGAACCACTGACTGTGTGTTTGTGTCACTGTCCTGGAGTTTTGTGTTTTAGAATCACTAAAAATCCTCTGTTTTGGTTTTAGTTGTGACTTTTATTGTTTAGAATTGTTGGTGTATTGCTTTCAGGTTTTTGAGCTCTTATTACCTCTGTAATGTGGTTTCTGTTAGTGTTTGAATTGTTTCTGTTCTTAACGTTTGTGCTAAAGTTGGTCTAACCACCCCGGTGTCCTTTGGCATCTTAAGTCTCCGTTTCCTGTTTTATTTTGGTAGCTGGTTGCTACTTGTGTTTTGTATTTAATTTTACTTGCCTTGTTGTTTTAATTACTTTCAGCTCTGTCCAGTTTGCTTGGTTACCTCTGGAGTGAGTATTTACTCTTTTGGTACTCTACACCTATAAAATTAAAGGCGTCTTTTCAGTTTCTTTGAGTCTGTCTGCGTTTGGGTTTTGTCTCCACGCGTTTTGATTGCTTGCATCAAATTCCCTAATTCCTTAGTTTAAGTCAAATTAAAGGCAAGAAGTTTGTCACTTGACAAATGCAGGCAAAGCACCAATGTGCTCTGACTTTCAGCCCAGTGTCATCAGAAAACTTGACCAGAAATCTGCCCCACTGAGAATTCGTGCAGCTGTCTGTGCACATGATAAAAAGCAGAGGAGAACGACTTAGCCTTGTGGGGAGCCAGAGTTTGAGATAATAGGATTGGGCATGCAGGCATTTCCAAAAGCCCACTGAACTCTGTCAGTTAAAAAAATGAAAAGCAACAATAAATGTGATCGGGTAATGTCGGGACTGCATCTCATTGAACGTGGAAGAAAAATCTGCAAATAAACCTCCCATGTAAGATTTTGGTTTTCAAGATTCTTATATGCGCTGTCTAGAATGAAGAGCTTTGCCCACTAGACAAGCAAACCGCAGTGAATCTAGTTTATCATCAATTAAGCACACGTCATGTTTTCAAAGATTTTCATGACAAAGGATGTAAGTGCAGCTGGTCTGAACTGGTTACTTCGGATTTTGGAACAGGTATTACAGTTGATGTTTTCCATATACTGGATATGTTGCCACCCTCTGCACACCTCTGAGAAAGTGCAGAAAGGATCTCAGTGAGCTGATTAGCACAGTAATGCAGTGTGTGTCCACAGAGCCAGCGGGCTTTCTCATATTAACCCTCTTCAATCAGGTTGGGACTTCTTGCATTATTAAAATATCATTCTGAGGCGTGAGAGACTTCCTCGCTCATTAACATTCCTCAAGAAGTCAGATCTTGCAGATTACATCATGCATTTAATTAAACTTTACATATTGTACCTTTAATGGAAAAAAGAATGCAGGTTCGCAGAGGATGGAATCAGATTAGAGAAAGCTTTTGGAAAGTGACATACAGCAGATGGATGTTATGGATGTTAGGTATCTCCACCCTCTTTTCTAAATATTGTCATGTCTGCTTCCAAAAAACTAACATGGTCCAAAATCACAGAGTGGCAAACGGGCTTTAAATACAGTCCTATGAAATTCCAGCAAATCCCCGAAACCGCCGACTCACCGGGGCCGCTGATCTGCGACGTGCTGCGGCTGCGGCGGTTGCCAACGATGGCCACCACCCGCGCGCTGAGGCTGGAGCGTCTCTTCTTGCTGCCGCTGCCCACCGTGCCCAGCGCCGTGTCTGATTGGCTGCCGTCTGTGCGCTCCTGGGTGTAGATCTCTCCGCTCACGCTGGAACTCTTCAGCATGCTGCGGCCCATGGACGCTCGCATCTGCCGACTGGAGAGAGAAGCCGAAGTGTGACTTTGTGACCTGGTGTGTTTGATAGATGTTGTTATTAAGCTCTCTTTTACTTCGAGTGTACTGTACCTTTACTGTGGCACAACAACAAAAACAGCATGACTGATGGGAGGTGGGGATGACGGACATTGCTGAGGGAGCGTGTTTAATAAAAGAGCATCAAATAAAAGTCTGGAGTCCCAAAGAAAAGAAATGCAGTATAATCATCCAAACGTGTCACATGAGTCAAAACTCAAGCTTTACAAGCCAAACTTGACATCTTACAGTTTTAATGTCATTAAACATGTCGTTTAGCCTCATGTCTGCTCTGTTGACCAATCTGAACACATTAAAATTATGTTTTAAGACTAAAACTTAATTTTCAATTATAGTTTCAGTTAATTGTTTTTTTCTCCTGTCTAGTTTTTATTTGTCACATTTTTCCTTTTAAGTTAACTATTATAGGCTTTTAAGTGACATCTACATTCCTAATCATTTGACTCATATAAAGGAACTATATGTTTGGCCCTTTATGTTTTCTTCCCTGTTTAGACACTTCTGAAATAATCGAAGCCAAATCATAAGTGGTTGGTAACAGAGCTGTGCTGTGAAACCCTCAAGAAAAGAGAATAAGAATGAAGTAGAATGTTCCAGCAGTTTATAGCTGAGCATATTATCTATTAAAGTTCAGTCTTCTTAAACAAGCCACTACACACGGACAGAACGTGTCCAGCAATCGATGCTGTCTCCTAGGGATTCGGAGGAGCTGTCGCATGTCCATCAGCTCAGAGGGGGCCAAAGTACTGCAAGAGAGTCCAGCTACGCTGCCCCTATCACCCAAACTCTCCGCTCCCTGTGGGTCCCTGACAGCTACAGCCCAGTGACCAAGAGGAGAAAGCGGGAGGGTGGTTTGAGGCCTCTCCACCTCTCCCTGCAGGGGAGTTAGAGAAGGGCGTGTAGAACAGGGGTAGGGTGGAAGGGGAGGATCCAGGTCTTGAGGGTGGAGGGGGTCCAGGCAGTCACAGCACAGGATGCATGCAAGGAGGGATCTGAGACATGCGAGGAGGATTACACAAACACATATAAACAGGCACATGGGAAAAAAATCAGTCTAATCACATTTGCTGTTTTTGGCTAAAAGGCTTGTGATTTGTGTGTGTGTGTGTTTTTTCCAGCTCATTTTTAAAATGTCAGCAGGAAAATTTATGCATTTGTCTGTTTGTGTGGTTTTATTCTGAAATGTCAGCGTGTCTGACCACAAACGTCTATGCAAACAAATGCAGTAGAAGGCAGGACTCACAAAAGCTTAAATGAGCAGCAGCTCATCAATTATTAGGAATTAGGAAGGAGAACTACATCAAACATGTGGGGGAATTAAAGAGGAAGGATAGGTTAAAGGACAGCTGTAACAGAAAAAGATGTAAAGACTGTCTAATCTCCTCTGTATGCACTCAGTCACTTCCACAAGCCATCATCAAAGCGGCCTGGAGGAGACGTGAAAATATCCACTGAATGCTTGCATTAATATCCAGCTCTGAGTGAAAACTGACCCGCGGCCTGCAGTCGATGTGCATCAACTCGTTACTAATTCCTGCCCACCCTCTGTCTAAAAACACATTACAGGCTTTCTGACACTGACCAGCTTTTATAAATGTAGTCTGACTCCACTGTCTGCTTTTAAAATCCAACTCTGTGTTTGAACTGAATAAAATGCTGCTCAGTCCATTACACATGTTCTTTGTTTCCAGCATGCAAACAACGGGATATGAAAATCTGAAAGCCTCACTGTAATACTAGACCTCTCTTGTTTTCGAACACTGAGGGACTCCCAACGGAAGGCTAAACAATGTCAAAATGGCTCCTGCATTACCCGGTAATGCATAACCAGTACACTGACTGTGCAGCATTACCACAATTAAGCCAAAAACTGGAGTTCCTCTACCAGCCACACAAGGCCTGATTTGAAAGTGAGTCGCTCCCCACGGACTGTTGAAATGTGCGACTGTGTGCAAAGAACTTGTGGTCTCTGCAATTAGATGGAGTCAGTCTGCTACCAGTTTACAGTTGAATGGGGTCAAGTTTGCAATTACATGGAATCTGTTTGTGATACGGAAATTAACTGTGATAAATCAGCAAAAGCTGCAAATCTGTTGTTATCTAGATGGCAACAGAGCAGAAATTCACATCAAGTGGTTGCATGTAAGCCAGAACCTCGAAGGTGTGAAACTGAAATATGGAAATACCTCCACAAATACTGACGGAGTTGCTGCAGGACAGGAATTTAACTGCAAAATGCACCACCACCACCACCACCACCACCACACCAGGTGGTTTTTATCTTTCAGTAATACATTCTTTTCTTCTTTTGCACATCTAATTTTTCCTCTCTGTAATTTTGAGTTTGAATGTGCAGCCCATGGGAAAAATAAGCGGACACCTGTGTCTTAAATTAATATGCAAACCTCATTTTTTGAAGGATTAAAATTAGTGTGCTTCTGTGCTACACAGTAACTTCTTTTTTTCAGGTAATGCTCTTAACAGTGAGTCAGTGACATCAGTGTCACTGACTCACTGTTAAAGGCTGTTATTTACTTTAATATTCCAGTTTGATTAGGCAGATGTGTCAATGTGTGTTGAGTTTTTCACACATCAGTGTGGTGGGGATGCTGCGCATCAGAATTTTCTCTCTCTGACTCATAGATCCCAGTTTGTTCATTTTGGCTCTGAAACTATTAAAGGTTAAATTAGTTTATTTTCAAGTTGAGATTCTTATACTTACAGGGCTCGTTTCAAGCTAGCACCTCCTAAGATAAATCTTAAGGTTAAAAACTGCAACGATAAAGCGAGTTTGGTGTTGGACAAATGGGTCCGTAACAAAATGATTGTAGGTAGAGGAGTAAAGAGCCTTTGGGATGAACAGAAGCACTGATGGAGAGCGAGGCTCGACCTTCCTCACTAATGTGTCTGAATGGGAAAAATCCCTACAAACAAGTCTTCCCAGAAGAGTGAAGGCTCAGAGAATCTGATTAATGCCTGCTGACGGAGCTAATGTGACTGTCCACATACTTTTGGCTCTGTGCATGTGACTGTGGTTGCTTTTGTTTTACTGGTGATAAACTAAATAAAGAAAATAATCTATTCCTAACATACAAGCCTCTGACATCCGAGTCCGAGCTGCTTTTAAAAAACCTGGTTTGGATTGATCTGTGTAAAGAACGCCCGTCCTTTTTTCTCTTTTCTCTCACACCTCAATACATTAGCCAGCTAATAAGCTGCACTATATCATCACCTGGCTCACTGTGGAGCAGTGAGATGGGGTCATTTGTCCTTGTCAGCAGTCTGTTACTGGTCAGCTGCTGAAGTAAGTGTGTGTGTGTGTGTGTGTGTGTGTGTAGCTGTATATAAGGAGACTAAAAAAGTCTCTTTTGAAAGAGCTTCTATTTCACTTACTTCCAGCGTATTTTTGCTCTTGGATTCAACTAGAGTAGCTCTGTATGACTCACAGTACCTCCTTCGTCCTCTGCTGGACCCCTCCTTCAGTTCATCCTCTGTCTGAAACATCCCATTTAAGCTCCCTTTTCCTCTGTTTTAGAAAACTTTCTTCCAATCGGCTGCAGAATTCAACAGCAGCTTGGTGGGACGTCTCTGTTCACACACCGAGCTTTGTGATTAAGATGACCGTATTAGGTTATCTGCTCTCTGTGACATCATATCATCAAATCCAAGGGTAGAAAAAACAGCCTGTAATTGAGCTTTAAAGCAGCCTTAAGTCTGAACTCTTGGCTGACAGGAATTACTTACACAGTGACCTCATGACTTGAAACATTGGCCACCGTTTTTAACAGAATGTAACTGACAGAAAGTAAGAAACGTTTTAAATATCTACTTTCAAAATAAATATTAAAGTGACTCAGGGAGGAAGAATGATTAGCACCACAGATGGGACTAATGCTGTTAACGTGATTAAAAGTCATCAAGCTGTGTAACACAAAAGGAAATTTTTTAAATGTGTGTTTGCAGCACCCTAAGGTTATCTTAATCTTAATAACAGAGAAAAAACTTTTAGGTAGAGAAAAATATCTTAACATGTTGAGGCTGACTTGGAGTGTTTACCTGTTTTTATGGAAATGAATCAAAAGTATACTATTTGATTTAGCAGGCTAATAGCTTGAACAGTAACAGTTTTAAAAAAAGAAAGTCTGAGTTTAATTTTAAGTCCAGGCTCAGATCAAACATAAGCCCGCCGGGTTGATGGTTAAAGCAAACAAATCTGCTCACACACTGTTAAATGTTCTGTTCTCGACTTGGACTTTCAGGTGTTTACATCCACGCCCACCGCCGCTTCTGACGTTCAGCAACATGAAGTGGATAAGTTGACAGACACGGGGTATAAAATTCAGTGTTCAGGCTGCACATTTTTACAACTGGAGAATGTAAAAAATCACTTACAGCAACGTGAAATCTAGTTCAGGGATGTCTAAAACTTTGAACTCTGACCTTTCTGACAGCATTAAGAGGTTTATCTACACTTTTAATCTTGAGATATTTTGAGACATCTATAGATAGATGTTTAGATCTACAGATATCCTAGAAAAATAAGTGCCAAAGTGCTCATTGTGTCTCAGTGATAAACAAACATGATAGAGAAATGCTGTTGTAATAAATGAACTCTTATAAATGTGTAAAATTACAGAAAATGTTTTGGTGATCCAAAAACGTTCCTTCACTTTTTTCAAAGCCACCCAGTGGGTGGAGTCTTTGCCGGACTGATCCTGGAGCCCGGGCCTTATGTTTGACATCTGTGATCTAGTTCTCCTAATTTGTTGTTAAAGCCACTGCGAGCCACTGCAGATGGGTAACAGGAGTTACCCATAAATATGGATATTTCACTGGAGATTTTTTTCTCCAGAAAGAAAGGTTCCACATCTACATCTACAATAAACTATAATAAACCACCTCTATATAAACTGCTTATGTTTCCACCTTTAATAGCTTCTGACGGCCTTTCTTTGGACTTGAGAGGTCTATGTGGACCTAGTTGTGCAGTGAGCAGATGGACCGTTTGCCATCATCGGTGGCTTCACCGTGTGAGAACTCTTTACCTGGACTCTCTCGTGTCTCCTGCCACAGTGTGTCTCCTGTGCTTCAGCTCCTCGGAGAACTGCCTCTTTCCACCTTCGTTCTCCTCCTCCTCTCCATCCACCCCCCACGAGATCCTCCTGTCCTTCTTGTCCTCCTCTAATGACTTGGATCTGAGTTATGTGTGTTTGTGCGTTCATGTGTTTGCGTGCGTGTGGGTGGAAGAATCAGAGCATGCAGAAGGACACAAACATGCAACGGCAAGTGGCGTGCAAGAAAAGGAAAGACAGACTGTGATCAGCATGCACTTCTCCGACATCTGGGTTTAATTAGAATATTAAAAATGATGGCTGTGGTGTTAAAAAGCAGCCTTTACAGTCACAACTGACCTGAGTCGTCCCCCGGGCCGTTCTGATTGGATAGACATGTAGCTGGTGCTACTGAGGCGGGAGGCACTGCTGGCACGGGAGATCGCCGACACGTCGCTCATATCGCTGTCTGAAGATCTGGCCGACATGTTGTCGCTGCTGCGCCTCTGTTCTGCATACATCTAAGGATGGAGGTAAAGAGAAGGAGGGTGGGAAGCTCAGTACGTTTGTTCAAACTGAGGACGAATAAATAACAAATACATTGTTTATAAAGTCCAGAAGGAAGAGGTGAGCAGCGAATACAAACACTCACCTCCCGTTTGGTCTTGAGGTTTGTCTCAGGGTCATGGGAGGCTGAAGGCCGGTAGGAATGTACTTTCATCTGCAGCTGTCGGGCTCGCTCCTCCACTGCGAGGGCTGAGGCACAACATTTTTAAAAAGACAAAGGATATGGATAAAAGCATGTCACTGAGAAAAAAGCAAAACCCATGAAGAAAAATAAAATACACGTGTTTTAATTGGATGGTGTTTCCTGTGGATGCAGGACATGGGTTCTGACACTAGGTGGAGCATTATGTGCACTGGAAACTCCATCGGGGAGACTCAAAGACACTTTAGATCTGCACTGAAAAAGTTTAAATTTCAAATTCCAATCCAGGTCTTCTGGGAATGCCGGATTTGGATTTATGGTTAGGTGAAATCCTACTTTAGTGTTTAAAGATTTATCTTTGCAGAGAAAACCAGTGAATGTGAACCAGAAGGACACACATATACTGTAATAGCACTGGAAAGTGAGGAAAACTGACATAGGCTAAAGTTTTAGAGGGACTAAAACCAAATTCCCTGAAGTTAATGCTTTCAATCAAACAGCTGTTAAACTTATTTTACATTTTAGAGTTGCACAAAAAATAAATTCCCACCTGAGCGCATATTCCTAAACTCCACAGCTGTGAGAACACCAACAACCCGGAGCTCTTTGGAAAAAACGCCACTTGAGAGAATTTGGAAATATACTAAGACTCTTGGCGCCATCAGCAGGCAAGTGAGTGCTGAGAAATCTACCAGACAGTGACTGATGTTTTAAAGTCTGTTAAAGTCTTAAAATCTAGCTAATTTCATGCAGCAGAAATTAAACTTAAGAATAATACTGTCATGGTCGTGGGTCAGGATAAAGACAAGCTGTGGAAGAGAGCCAGAGATTAAGAATAACTCATAATTAAATGCAGAGAGGTTTATAAAAACACAGTGAGTGAAAAAGAAACACTCAGTGCATCATGGGAATCCCCCAACGCCTACACTTATTGCAGTGCACATAAAGGAGGAGTCAGGGTCACCTGATTCAGCCTTATCTGTATACTTTATCAAAAAAGGAAAAGTAGAGATAGTGTCTGTCTCCTGAATCCAAACTGGAAGCTGGTTCCACAGAAGAGGGCCTGAAAACTGAAGGCTCTGCCTCCCATTCTACTTTTAAATACTCTAGGAACAACAAGTAGGCCTGCAGAGCGAGAGCGAAGTGCTCTAATAGGGTGATATGGTACTACAAGGTCATAAGATAAGACGGGACCTTTTAAATTTGATTCTGGATTTAACAGGAAGCCAAAGAAGTGAAGACAACATGTGGGGAAATATGCTCTCTCTTTCTAGTCCCTGACATTACTCGTAGGTTTTAGCTTGTTTGGTTTAGCTGTGTCTCCCAGGTGTGTCCACTCTTACTCACCCTTCTATGCATTTATTGTCTCACTCTCCCCTTGTCCTTTGTTCAGTTGTCCCTTTTTGCTGTTTGTATCCTCGTTCTGTGTGCTTGAGGACGTTCTAGAGTTTTCTGGTAACTTATTTCCTGCAGTATCTCTGTTTGGCATATGCTCTGGATTATTTTAGACTTTGCTGTTTCCTGCATCGACGCCATTAAAGGCTGATTGTTTGATACTGTATTTAAGTCCGCAACTCACTTTTTCGCAACCACCTTTTCTCTAGTTAAATAACAGAATTTATCATTTTTAAATACATCTTTACCTTTTAGGAAATAAGGTATGAGTTGAATGTATGAGTTTCCCACAAATGTTTCAAAATAAAAGTCTTTTTGACACATGTAATGTTTAGTCCAGTGAAACCCTGTGAAGGTTTTAATTTTAAACCACCAGGAAATGTTGAGTTTGTATAAATAGTGAAATGCAGTAACGTTAATAAAACAAGTGAAAGTGGATCAAAAATACTAAAATAAGACTGACTGAATTATACAATCACTATCTGATTATTATATCAAACAGGCATAAAAAGACATTTTTTCTTCAGCAGTTAATGAAAATAAAAGTTTCACATTCAGTCTGACTTTATGAACTCTCTTACATGTAATAGGCTAAATCGGTTTCATTAACGGTGCAGTGTTGTCCCTGCACACTCTGCTCTACACCTACAGTTAAAACCCTCTAAACAGTATGAAAACTCCACAGTTTTCATACTGTTTATATTGTTTTTTCAATCAAAGGAGTGCTGAGCAGACAGAAATCTTGATGCACTTACTTTATGCTGACAGCTTCCTGAACTGCTTTCAGGGATTTTTGATAGGTTTGTTGTTTTGCCCTGAACTGTGTGTTTCAGGCTCTTTTTTTGAGAGTTTAAAAAATAAATTAACCCTTTTGACCCCAGAGGTCATTAAAACACAAACAACAAGAGCCAGTGCAACTGACTAAATTATGACTGAATGTTAGATTTTCTTCCTGCTGAGTCAAATCTGGAAGAATTACAGCTGCGAATTGTTAAAACAGGATTTTTTTAAATGAATGTGGCTGAACGTTTCACTCCAGCCTGGTGATTGTGATGTGGAGACTCATTATATGTATTTCCACATCCTAATCCTTCACTGTTGTGCTGCTGTTGGTGACAGAAATTGGAGATATTGTCTTTCAGGTGAAATTTAATAGCGCCGGGCTTGAGGGGTTAAAGAGTGACCATTTGTCATGCTTCAGTTCTGCTGTTTGAAGTGACCCAACACTGCAGTTGATCATTTTTACAGTCCTTCAAATGGCATCATATAATTTTCAAATCTCACTCCTGGTGAGAAGGACACAGAGATTTATTGTACGCTAAACGTCCTAATCCGACAGGTGAAAGACAAAATTCAGGGCAAAAAAACCTTAAAGGCACTGAAGCTGTGGGCATAGAGTCAAACATGAGCGCAGCCTACATAAGTGCATATGAGTTTTATCTACTCAGCACTCCTCTGCACTGACAATTTAAAGGCTGTTAACCCATTTCAACCTGGAGGTCCCAGTACCTGGCTATAAAACACAATATGTGACCATAATTAGAGGGTTTAACTTTTAAGGGTGCAGCATTGAAGCTGGCAGAGCTGCAATCCAGAATTTTAAAACAGGTTCAGTCACTACAGTTACTCATTATTATAAGGCTCTCTAATTTTAGCCCGTTCTAATCATCGGGTGTCAATAAGTGCTACTCATCAAAACTGCTGTCAGTCAAAGAACAATACAAGGTGTGCTTTGGCCTTCATGCACTTTTCATTTGTCAATAAGCTCGGTTACTGTTGTGAAGGGGCGTGTTTTCCTAAATTTCAGGGTGTGAAGCAGACATCTGACAAACGCCACTATAATACACACTGAGGTGACGGCGCAGGGCTGTTGTTCTGATGTCACTGGTCCAGTTATGGGACAAACCTGATGCATTTAAAAATCCTTTTAGTTATTCACTTTGACAACAGTTTGATGCGAATGATTACAACTATCAAACTGTTGCGATACATCTTCTTTCTTATGAATTTTTCTCCACACACAACGCACCTTGCTCTATACTGCTGCTTTTAGCGGGGAGCTGAGGGAGCTGCCTGCCCCTGCGACCTGATGAGGGAGTCCCCGCTGGGGAAGTCGGGCTGCCATAAGGGTGTGCTCTGCAGGACATGAACACACAAGGAGGTGCGAAAATTAGTTATACATACATATAATGATAAAGAGATTAATCTCTCATTCAAGTGAGACCCAACACTCAGTCACAGAAGCAACAAACTGGGGTCAATGGTAAAGGTCAAAGGTCAAGATAGGAGAGAAACTGATCAGAATCATCAGTGAAGCTGCAGGAGAAGCAAAGGAAGATTCACCGAGTGTGTCTGAGTATTTCTACAGATCCCCAAAATACTTCAAATACTTTATGTACAGACAATTTATAAAAATATCACATCACTTGTGAGCAACACATCATAAAGATCATACTGGGCTATGGCTGATATAGGTAGTATCTGTGCACTCAGTGTAACAGAGAGGAAACCAGGTGAGGGGGGCGGGGCTCTGGCAACAGCATGCACCTGTCCAGCCGTGGTGAGTTAGGACAAGACCCTGACAGGACTGTCTGGCCAAAGGGCCTCAGAGGGCCTCCTCTCCCTCTACTGCCCCTCAGGATAGAGGTGGGCTGGATGCGACTGCCATCAGCAAATAAAAAGGAATAAAAACAGAAAGATAGCAACTCAAAACAACACAAACAGTCTGTTTCAGTGGTGGATGGTCATATTAATCATGGTCTAATCGGCCCACCTGCAGTTTTTTTTTGTTTTTAATCTAAAGGGGCAGCCAATCAGAAAAAGTCAGCTTACAGAAGGCGGGGCTTAACATATTACAATTATGAAATGTAAAGAAAATCCTAATATAATACAAGAAAACAATCAAAAACTTGACCCGAGTTAAATTTATCTGTTTTGTTCTTCAAGGCCGTGTCATCATGCACCTCTGAACCGCTTTCAGCACTGCCTCTATCTTCAGCTGTATCTTCAGATCACTGATCTCTAATTTCACTGTAGAGTTTAGATGGAGAGCATCATCTTCTGGGTCAAACTGACTGTACTTTAATGTTTAAGATGATTAAAAAACAAACAAACTACGCCCTGCCAAATAGCCTTCTATCTTCAGCAGAGAAGTCAGCAGGGTCCGAGCCAGAACCATGTTCACTGTTTTTTGAATTTTCCTGACTTGTGCATTGTGCAACGTCTTTGAGAGAAAAGTTTGGCTCTTTTTTTGTGATGTGTGCCTGAAGCAATCCAGAGGTGCGCAAGCACACAACACTGAAGGGAAGATTGGACAAACATAACTTTGCACAGAGAATAAAAAGTCAGTTTGGCTTCTCGATTATTAAAAAAAGGCTTTTTTTCTTGCTTAATTCCAAACATATAAAACACAGAAACCCAGTTTTTGTCAGCAAAGCTCCATTTACTGTACAAAACAAATCACAAATATGGATCAATGTGTTTATATCTAAGGTCTTTCTGAGGATTTCTTAGATTTGAACAAGAAAAAAAAATTCCACACATGACCAAAAGGAAAGATGGTTAAATATGATCCCTCTGGAGAAAAAGGAAGGGATTAGGGTAATGAGGTGGAAACACAGGTAAATGAATGAATGAATGATCTTACCTGTCCCCCTCCAGGCTTTTTCTGCTGCCCTTTGGACAGTTTGGACCTGGAGAACTGTTAGACTGCCTGTGTTGGCACACAGCGGCCACAGAGAGAGAGGAAGAAAAACAAATACGATGTGGAAAATGGCGATGCAGAGAATGGCCCAACTGAGCTCTGGGCAAGAAATACTATAAAAGGTTCAAACTCAGTCTTTCTATTGGTTTATGGAAGCTGCATAGCTGCAAAAGTGCTTTCAAGCCAGAGAAGTGAAGAAATTCAGAAGAGAGAAGCAGGTGCAGCACAACAAAGGAGAGATTATACAGCCTTAGACAACAAATATTTACAGGAAAAGGGTTGGAAGCGGTGCTGATCACAAGATCTACGATGTACATATCACTACAGGACAAGCTTCAGGCTACAGGATAGGCTTTCAAGTGAGAGTTCAGGGACGTATGAGCAGGCAAGCAGAACCGCAGCGTGTCAGGGGTCGGCACAGGGGGTGGACCCGGTGTACCTGTCTTCCTCAGGGGCCACATGTTCTACTAAGATCCTGGGGCTTGGGGGAGTCGTTCGGGGCAAAGAGTTGGAACACCTGGAGGGGTGGGAAGGTGGGAGGGAGGAGGAGCATCCCAGTGGGAGAGAGGTTGTTAGTGAGGAAAGGGACAGTGAAGGCTGCTTTCAACTTCATGGCACAACATCAGGTAAAAGCTCCACAGAGACACGTTTCTGTGAGCAAACAAACTGACACGGTGGTAAAAATACCAGAAGAACTAGAATTATAATAACACAGTTTTTGTTGCATCTGTAAAATTAAACCTTCCTCACAGACTACAGAGGATCAAACATGGTGTCACCAGCTGTTACGTCCCTATATGTTCCTAACAAGAGCTCGGTCAGCAGTTATACCAGCAATCAGACTCCACCAGGGCTCATGATAATCGGTGCGGACAGAATTTCTATGTGCAGTGAAGATGACAGCGATTGTCAGCTTTTTGTGATTCTGCTTTTTGCGGCTATGTGGACCTGCTCAATGGATTTCCAGCTTACAATGGGGCAGTTTGCAGCTGTGTTTGAAGAAGCTGGGATAAGAAATAGCATCGCCAAGTCTGAGGCCAGGATTCTCCAATGGGAAACGGTGGATTACTGGCTCAGGTAGAGACGTACAGAAAGGGATGAGTGTGAAGGTGAAGCTGTTGATTTACTGGCCGATCTCTCTCCTTATCCTCACCTTATTATTTGCAAATAAATAAATAATAAATGCACAGTATCCATGTTGCCATTTTTTCTGTTTACTGACTGCAGGGTGGAATCAATCTTGTATATGACTCTTGGGAAGAAACTGAATAAGCATATCTGCAAATAATATCTGAGAGAAGCTGCACTCAGTTATGCTTGCTGGGACCTTTGTGGTTTATAATCTTATCTGTTCCTGTTTAACTCCTTCATCTGTCTTGGAGGTTAAACGAACTGAGATATGCAAACAACTAGATAGTTTGAGTTGGGTTATTTTTTTTAAATGAGGGTGTATAATGGCAAATTTACTCATGTATGAAAGGGGCACATGATGTGAAGGGAAGTGGAGACATGCAGCATCCTAACACCCAAAAAGTTGAATGACTCCATCAGAAAAAGAGTGCAGGTAGAGGTGATGGTGTGCATGTTCTTCTGATACCTGTCTCTGTCAGTAGAGTGAAAGTCTGGTCTCAGACACGTGGTGCTGGCGCTCCTCACTCTGTCCAACGACGGCTGCAGGTCACTGCACCGCCACAACAGGGCAGCAGAGAGAGAAACAGAGATGCACAGGGACAGAGGATGCGAGGAGGAGGCGAGGTGATGAAGATGTTGAAAACAGAAGGATGATGAGTGGGAAGGGGAACAAGAGATACAGCAGAAATAGTCAAAAGAAAGATAACAAAATAAGGCAAAGAGTGAAGATGGGAGACCACCACAGAGGGAGAAGGAGAAAGGATGAGGCGAGCAAGTAAAAAAAGGGAGGGTTGATAAGAGAAAGAGGGACAAAGAAAATCCAGAGAAAATCAGAAGAAAGGTAACAAGAAGTGAGAGACAAAGAGAGAAGAAGGGAGGCCATGAGACAGCGCATTAAAACGGTAATGGCTCTGATGCTGTGTTTCCATTTATCACCGCCAGTCACTCCTCGCGGCCTCGCAGAGTGAGACCACTCAGATGGGAGGTTGTCATGGGAACCAGGTCTACATGGGAGAAGGGACGGTTCGTGTGTCTGGGAGTGAGCGAGGAGAGCAGAGCTCCGCTGCATGTCTGTGCTGTGTCACATCATGCTGCTGACAACAGCTACTATCAACAGATGGCCGGCTCGTTGCCATCGCATGACGTCGCACACGACGCTTTGAGGCCAAACGCCTGACACGGGCGGCAACAAGAGCTTAAGAGTAACACCCTGCTTTTACCAGCACACGCTCCAAAGGGAAAAAGAAGCAAGAGGTGGCAAGAGGACCAATGGTGGGAGGACATGTGAAGTGGGTGTGTTCTTACCTAACCGTGACCTCATCAGTGAACCTGAGCACACGGTGTGTGAGGATGCTACGAGGCAAGGCGCTGCCCCCCTCCTGCCTGTGGGGCGGCTTGCTCTTTAGGCATGCGGGGAGGGTGGAGCTGTGTGCCAGAAACCCCGCCCACAGTGGGTGGGGAAAGACCCGCATGCAAAGAGAGGCAAAGGAAAACAAAAATGATACACACAACTGAGAGAAACAAGCCAAATAAGTGCAGGAAGGGGAAACAACATGAAATTAACAAATGAAGTAGAACATTTACATGGCAACATAAAGCAGGGTAGCTTTAATGCATCCTGTCCACAGCTTATGTAACAGCTCGATTAAAAGGCTTCCTGCAGCATCGTGCCCACGAGATGAGCTACATGCAGTCTGTGACTTCAGAGAGCCGAGTGTAGAGATTGTTCTCTGGTGGATTGGCCCCGCACACATACGTACAGGAAGATTACATGTAACACCAATTACGTAACACAATCTAAAGCTGCAGAGGCGACACGTGGCGAGGAAACCGAGCTGCAGCAGATCTATAGGATGTACGCGCTGTTATCAGAGCAGAACAGACAAAAATGGAGGGAACTGCTCTTACATGAAATGTCCACATAAAACCCATCGTGTCCCCCAAAGACCTTCATGAAGCAAGTCTCACTATTTCCCCCGCACTGGTTACCTGGGCATGTCCCCAATCAACTGCAATGAATCTGCTTAAAGAGCTATACCTTTACTACCATCTTTGCTGCAGTCAGATTGTAAGTGAGGATTTTTGAATGCTTCCCCCCTGTTTTTCAAACTTTTGGGGCTAAGCTACACCAAGTTATACAGAGTGGAATACATTTTAGCTTTTAAATGTTGGAAAGAAACTGAAATAGCATATTTCAAAAAATATATGAGCGTTTACTGTTCTGTGAAAGCAGTCAGAAGCAGGAAAAAGGGAAAGTAAGCAGATACTACATACATACACTCTCTGATTCCATCATCAGCATCTGAAAAATGATGTTACTTCGTGTATTTTAGCCCATCAGCTGCAAAGCATCCTCGGGTTTCATTTAACCAGCAGTCATCATCAGGGTACTCTGGCAACTTCAACCCAAGCCAAGCTACAGCTGTTCACATCATTCAGGTTTTTTCATGAGACTCGATGGAGACAAACATCAGGTTCCTTTAAATAAGACTAAAACCACTTGTTCTGCTCGTTAGTTAAAGTTGGTGGACATTATGAGCAACCCTTCATACTAATACACAACAGGCAACAAGCCCTTGCTAGTACGCACTTAAATGGCACTGCCCCCAAGTTTAACCTGGTAAGCGGACACTTTGTGAGGCAAACAATGGTTTTGCATAAGATTACTACAAGTTGTGAAAGTTCTTAACATCAAGCAATCTCCATTCTCCACATTTCTACTTTCTTTTGTTTGTAAGCCTCCTAAGGGTCTACAGACAGGCTAACAGCCCATCTCGGCTTCATTTAGCCACAGCACTTTTAAACTAAATGCTAATGCCAGTGCTTACAATGTCAACAGCATGCCAGCGCTCTAATTAGCATGGAGGAAGACAGAAATCGAGTTAAAATGCTATTTAAATGTTCAGTGGTCTGCACTGTTACCTCGCAGTAAAAGGGGTCGAACCCAGGACGGGACTTTCTGTGTAGAATTTAAGTGGGTTTTCTTTGGGAGCTTCAGTTTCTCCATCCATCCAAAAAGTAGACGGATTAATGCTGCCTGTCTTGGTCTAGGACACTCTAGCAAAAGAGTGTTAATCTCGAGAGTTTCCTTTCTTGGTTAAATAAAAGTAACAAGAGTAATTAAAAGTTTAGCAAGTTCAGTTTGTTTCTGCAGTCCGTCCAAACCGTCGAGTAAGGGGAAGTCGCAAATAGCTAACCTGGTGTTACAATCATGCTTTTGTGTCCCTAAATGGATCCTTGGCCCTAAAAGTTTTGGTCACCCGTTGGTCAGCCCAAGCTGTTTTCACACATGAATATCTCCAGACTCACTGTTTGGTTCAGGTGAACTGCCCGTGCAAAGTGTGCAGAGTAGGTGAGCTCTGCTAGACCCTCACACGCAGCATTACTAGAAACTGCAATTACTCCAATTGTGTTTCTTTTATGATTTGTAGTTGATGGGCTACACGTGTAAGATTAGCAGTGTGCTCATGTAAAAGATTGTGTAATGCAGATGGGAAAGCAACACATCTCACTGAAGCGGCACCATGACAAAGCAACTTGGCACACACTCCGACCACAGCACGCACAATCAGCACAGCGGCCTGGGAGACATATGGGCATTTATTGCATTGAGAGATCACTGCCACGAATAAATGGCCCACCAACTCCACGAATGAGTCTGGGAAAGCTGGACAGGCACAGAGAAGGGTTTGCAGGACTGCCTTTAATGCTAAAAGCTTACCTGTAAATGTCTTTATGGATACCGTTTACTAACAGGGGCATTTTGGGGGGGAGGGTGTTGCTGTATCTACCTATGCTCCTGGTTGTATGAGCGGAGGTCATGCACGTAAAGGAAGACAAGAAAAAAGTGGAAAGACAATCCATAACTGCTGTTATGTAGAGAAGACATCCAAGGCAAAAAAAAAACGAAATAAAAGAAATTATTCACAAAGCTTTGCCTTCTTTGAGGTCAGGTGCCGAGCGGGGCTCAAATCCCCGCATACACTGTTATGAGACAGTTGAATTTATGTGTGCTACAACTACTCGTGACACTTTTGTCTTCATGCATGTGCAGAAAAGCAGAAATAACAGACACAACCATAACCAGCATGTTCCTTTTGCATTAAAAAGGCCAACTTTAAGAGTTAAGATGGAGTTGTTAAAGTATAGTGAAAATGGAAATGATGACAGCTACTCTTTTTCTTTTTACCTGTTTGTGTGCAGGCACTCGGCACTCCCGCCCCGGATAGACCTGTGCATCTCCAGGACCTCACTGTCATTGGCATGACGATGGGTGAACAAATGAAAAACAACACAAAAGAAGAGGATGGCAACTCAGACAGGTAAAGTGAAGTTATGAATGACAGAAACCAGGAAATCATAATTCTGAGATTTCAATCAAGTCTCCGTTCAACAGCAGAGAATCCCATATGGAAAAGACTTAGAATAAACCTGTGCATACACTCCTGTAGTAAATGTTCATGTTTTACATACACCTCCTAAGAAAGTGGCATGCAACGCCACTACAGTGTGCACTTTCTATTTTGAGTCCAAAGGGGGCTGTGCACTGTCTATGATGGCTTAACAGTAGAAAAGCTCTACACCGTCCACATTCAGTGGCTGCAGTAGGAAGAATAAAACACTGACCAACTCCCACTCTGTGGGTAGGTTTCACAGGGGGCGCTGGTGAGATCGTTCAGAATGAATCTGGAGTCTGCAGCTCCAAAATGGAAATTTCCATCATGTTTTTGGTGCAAGGTTGTGCAAACATAAATGCAGTTTTACATTTTATGTGTTTGGACTGTAGTAAAATACGTTTCTGTGAGTCATTATCATCAACAGCAGCAGCACATAGTATGGCAGCCGCCATTGTGACGAGGCACGAAGCACAGCGACCAGCTGCTTCCTCTCCACACGTGACAGTGTGCCATTTCCTTTCAGATGCACTGTTGACGCTGTTGATGTATTTGTGGAAACTAAAATAATCTGTGTCTTTGCTTGAATAAGCTTGATTCCTGTTCACTGAGGTTCTTTCCTGAACTGCAGCAACTTTTTGCACAGCATTGCTCTGCTCATGCTCTGCATGGTTTGAATACATCGTCAGCACAGCGGCAGAAACAGCGGCATGTTCTTATCAAGCAGGGCTGTCACGTGTTCTGTTAAATTCTCTTTAGCTTAGAAGAGTTTAGTATTACGTGTCGTAAAAGGCTCAACAACGTTTGTTGTTGTTGTATTTTCACAATTTGCCGCGATCAGCGTGAGACTATTCGGTGCACATAAGTGTCTACGTAAGCAGCCACACTCGCACACATTTAACGTGCACTTGATTTAATTTCCCACAATTATATTTCATGAAGAATCTGCAAAAAAGGCCACTTTTATGAGTAAACAGATTTAAAGATATAAAGGAAACAATAACTGCACTGCTGCAATCTGAAACTAAAGCATCCAGCATCTAATTCACTCAATTATACACCAACACACTTTGAGTTGGGACCACCACAGAAGCCCATTTTTCCTCACAGAGCAAAGTGGTGAAATCTGCCCAAATCCAAATCCTTAATCCTAAATTTGCATCATGTGTGGCAAAAAATTCTAAGAAGAGGAAGGAAAAAAAAGAAACTCTCCAAAAACCCAAGTCGTTCATAAACACCTCCACATGCAAGGAAACCCAAGATGCACGCGAGGATTCCCAGAAACTGCTTCACAGCAAAAAGACCATCTGACCATGAAAGACACAATCTGGCGACTCAGAAGTAAAATACCAGTGCTGTGCGTGCGATACAGCAGGAAGTAAAACTTGAATCAGTGTAAAAACTGAGAAAATAAAGAAATTATTTGTACATAACTCTAACCCAGAACCACGGCACCAGCAGTACACGGGTGTGTTTTAACAGTCGAGTGGACGTACAATATGTGTAAACACATATGTGTTCCTTTCTGTTGCTCTACATATCTAACAAATCTTTTTAATTAATGCAAAGAAGAACAGAGGTCCAGTATTCTTACAGATGCAAGTGCAGCACATGCCATGTTCTGTGTGAAGGAACCCGAAACTTTAAAATACACATAAAACTTCAACATTTACCACAACTTCTTTTTCTATTTCTTTTCCATATGGGTAGTTTCACTCTGTTAGTAGTATTAGTAGAAAATAGTTTGGCAAGATCACATTACACACACATAAACAAAAACAATATTCAGCCTTTGAGAAATATATATAATTGTGTCAAAGCCCCAGAAGTTCATGTTTGATGATGGCCAGTTTCACTGTTAGAGAATCAACCATTGATCTGACACATGTCAATCTTTCTTTTATTACAAGTAAAAAAGTCAACTAGAAGAGATTTTCACTGCCCCGCCCCTCATCCTGAAGATCCCAGGAGATTCCAACAGCAGGTTACCTGTCCTCAGAGTACTCGTAGTCCGAGTCACCTGAGCGTTGGTGCTCCAAGTGGGGCTCGTGGTAATGGGAGGGGGAGTGGGAGTGGTGGCGGTTCTGGTGGATCTCATCCAAACTCCTGATGATGAGAAAACATGTCATTTCTATATGTAATGTGAAAATGAGTGCAGTCATTAAAAGAAAGAAAATACGATAAAATGAAAAAACTATAAAGTTGTGACTTTATCATGTTTATTCTCGCTTTACTGAGATCTGACTGAAGATTTGATGTAGAGACACGATGAGCAGGGGTAAGAACTGAGATTGAAACGTTCTAGGTAAATGCTGCCTGCACCGCAAAGCAAGATTAATGTGTTGTTCGGGCATGTTGAGCCTAAAGTCAGAGTTTTCAGTACCAGGAAGGTGGATGCCTTTTAACCTGGCTAGATCACCATGGCAACTGCTGTGCTGAACACGAGCTAGAAGAGCGACTAGGGCACATTACAAAGTCAATCAGTCCATTTGTTGGTTATTTATCACCAAAAATTCAATGAGTAAAGATCCTTTCACACACAAGTGATTTGTCACTCTTCGTTTGGCTTCGGGACAGTATCAGAGCTGAGCGCACCGAATAGCTAAAAGTTTGAAGTTTCAGAGCTCTAAGATGTCGATTTGACATTTGAGATGAGCTGCAGCCTGAGCGTGCAAAGGGAAATAAATACATTAACTCAGGAATTTACACAGCTAATGATTTTCTGTCAGCTGTGCTCTGTTGTGGTGTTTTCTGGTTTACAGATTTGTTTAGCGTATCAGTTAAGGTCCCTGAGTCTTGGACCCAGAGTTTTTGAGTTTGGCATGTTTTGGGGTTTTGTAGTTTTACATTTTTTATTATTTTTGTTGATTATTGTTTTATGCTTCCGTATTCTGCATTGGTTATATTTAGCTCTCTGCTGCTTTATAGTTTTAGTTTTATGTGTTTTTGGCCGACGTTTTCCTGGAGAGAGGATACATTACCCAAGTTCAAAGACAGTGTGATTAGACACTGATGTACAACTTTTATTAATGTGGGAAAAAAGCAGAAAAAATCTCCAGATCAACCACCCATGAAATGTGACCCATGTTGTGGAGACCCGGCACTCAATCAAACATTTTAGATTTGAACTTCTGCTGCACTGCCAGCTTCTCCCTGGGTTAATGAAATGTTAACAAGAGCTGAGGTGGTTTGTCTCTTCCAGCTGTTCCAATTATTGAAATATATAGACAGCATCATCAAAAGCATCCATATGTGGGTCTCCAAAGAAGTAAATTCATTAAATATTCCCCAAACTGGGATGGGATCTGTCAGAATGGTGAATACGATCTACTTTTTAAATCTGGCCAGCTGTGACACACAGAGTCTGTCATGTGCCTGGGTCATTTGACCCAGTGTGTTGTGTTCTTGTATTTTCATGTCATTTTCTATTATGGTTCATGGTTAAGTCCACGTTGGTAGTCTCGAGTTTAATCTGCGGTGCCTAGGTTGTTCTGTTTAGCATCTCTGTTTTGCCCTCTGTGTCTCTCTCTGTGTGTCTGTGTGTATATATGTTGTGTGAGTTCTTGCGTCTTGTTTCATTCTATGTCCCCCCTGCCCATGTTTATCCATGTTTCCCCAGTCTGCCATGTCTCTCTTGTCTCCCTCTTTGCCTTTCCTCCATTTCTGTGTCATGTTCCTCCGTTTCCTGTTTTATTGTGAAGGTCTCCGGCTTCCATGTTCGGTGTGTCTAGTTCTGCTTCCCCTGTGGCGTCACGTTAATTCGTGTCAGCTGTGTTCCCCGTGTGTTTAGGTTTCACTTTTTAGTTTTGTGTCGCTTTTTCTCCCAGTAAATAAAGCTGTATTTTGGAGGTCCCGTCTCCGTGAGTCTGCATTTTGGGCCCTGTCCTGCCTGCGTTACACAGCTGTACTGTTTACAGTTTTACTGTTAAATCATTTGTTACACACAGCAGCCATGCTCAGGCTGAGCCCTGAGCTTCATTTTGGTTTTTTTAAATCAATTTTTTTTCTTAATTTCTGCTTAAATTCAAATAGTGACAATAAAATACTAAATAAGCATTTTATATTTTATTATATGTTGATTTAGTAACTAAAAGAACCAGCAGGGAATCTGGTAACGTCACATCTCAGATGGTTTAGTGCAGCGGTCCCCCATCCTGGGGCCACGGACCGGTACCAGGCCGTGAGAGTTAAGGCTCGTGTGTGAAATTTATGGTTTTCAGGGTTTTTATCGTTATTTTTTTTAATCGTTTTTATCATTAACTCATTAACTTTTATCATTAACACTTTCCCAGGGGTTTTTCCTGTGTATTATGAATAAATCTTCTTTTATTTGGTACCGGTACTGGTTTTACTTTGTATTTATCCACACCAAATAACACAAACAGTTGGCTAAAAGTGTTTTAGAGAATAAGATAGAGACCCTACAATAACAGAGAGAAAGCACCAACAATCAGACGACACCCTGTGAGCAGCGACAGTAGGAAGGAAAAACTCCCTTTTAACAGGAAGAAACCAACAGAAAGAGGCTCAAAAGAGGGCAGCCATCTGCCGTGACCAGAACAATGCAGCAGCGGACTTGTCGAGCAGTAATCCTCGCAGCTGCAGTCCACAAATTAACAAGCAACGTCAAGCTTTTCTTTAGGGTTCCCCCACTTGCCAAATCATCACTCAGAGTTCAGCAGGTAAAACTCCCCGGTGTAACTCACCTTTGCATGGGCACGTGTGCAGGCCGAGACCGAGCTCTGCACGTGTCCTCTCTGTGAGGCGACACCGAGCGCGAGCGGTGCTGGACGGGTCGCTGCTGCTCGGGCACAGCCAACGTGCTGCCCCGCTCTCTCTCCCTGGAGTTACGCTCTGCGCCTGCACCCGCACACAAATCCAGTGTGGACACACAAACACGTGCAAAACAAGCAAAATACATGTTTCAAGATTCACAGATATAACATACACACAGGAGGGATACAAACACCCACACACATCCAGGCATTAGTTGTGTCCTTAGGTAAGGGTGCACCAGTTGTAATGAGTCAATACTACTCGCTACTGTTACAGGTGCCATTCACCTACAGACTGTAAAACATCACATCTGGATGTTTTACAGGCAAATAAGCAGCTTGCAAACGCAGTGTAGCTGGTCATGTGACTGTTTCTGCAAATGTGTCTGTCAGACTTGAGCTCAGCTTGTTTTAATCCCATGAAGTGGCTGATGAGATGACAGATCAGGCATTTACAGTTACAAGCCTACAAAGCTATAGTAAGTCACATGATACAGAAAGAAATGCAATAACAGAGCATTAGCCTCATTTAAAGCTGAGATCGGCAGTAATGTTTGAGTCTTACAGGAAAAAAACATCTCCTGTTGTGTGAGAGAAACCTACACTTCTCCACCTCCTTCTGGCTTTGTGATGGGAGACTCTGGCCAATCACAGGTCAAAGAGAAGCTACTCTAATTGGCCCTTCTACAAATTCATGGGAACTTCCCTTTACTAAGTGGCAGATATTCCTGAATTAAAAGTGGCTATTCCACCGACAGCAACTACGTACATTGCAAAGCAGCCCAAAAAAGGGACATTTAATGCACTAAAACACATCTCATGTCAGGAGTGAATATTAACCATCACCAGGGAGCAATGACAAACTATATTCAGCACCTCTCATTGCTCCCTGGATTGGTAAGATGCTAAGTTAAATTTTCTGTGATGGTCTTGATGTAGTTGGTTGATGGCCTTCTGGCTGCTGGAGCTGATGTATAGCCTATATATGTCTGATGGGGTGGAGTTAGGACAGTTATAGGAGAGAGGGGGCTGCAGGACATTTCATTAAGGAGTCAAAAAACAGTGACGCCATCCCTGAACCATTAACTAGGCTGGCAGAAATCCTTGACGTTGCTTCTAACCCTAACCTAACTTTATATGGAATGGTTGAGTGGCGTGCCAAGACATTGCTCCCAATTTAGTGTGATCTCTTCACCCATTCGTTCATTTTCTTATACCACAGAAGGGTTGGGGCCAGTTCAAGCTAACATAGGGTGAAAGGAGGGGGGTGTATGGCTTATGACCTCTTCACATTTGGGAACATGTGACATGCTACGATTTAAAAGTTTCATTAATGGTTAACGATACAGAAAATACTCTTGGCCACCAATGCAAAGATGTAAAACTGCAAACTTTACTTTGATTTAACCGCACGTGGGAATTACTGGAAATGGTATACAGCAATCTGACAAGATTCTGGGACAGGAGTGTAGAGCGCAGAGGCCAGTGGTCACTTTGCTCGTCCTCCTCTGATGGCTGATGAACACCCACTTGTGTTCTGCAGAGACACTGAGACATTGGCTTGGTGTTTTTTGGGGGCGGGGTTTGGTCTTTCTAGACGTCTGCCAACTCTAGCTTTAAATATGAACGACAGGATGTGAAACAGAACTGTGCAAAGTGAAGTGAGGCGAAGGTCTCAATCATGTCTTGTATGGATCATTAAAGGTAGCAGCCAGTTGGGGAGCTTCTAAGAATACACAGGAAGCATCGCTGGTTGGATAAGTACAAAAAAACAACAACCTATGTATAAAAACTGACTCTCAAGATGCAGTTAGGTATACACTTGCACTGCAACTAAAATTAACACTTTTTTTGGCCAATGAATGAATAGTTGAGTAAATGAATTCATCACCTGTGGTGCACGATTTAAGCTATGGCTAAGAATTGTGGGTATTGTAGTAAAGAGCTCTGTTATTTGAGGCAAAACAAAATAACAAGGAAAATAAAATAAAATAAAATCATAGTAATGTTCAAATAGTATCCTGATCATACTTGTGGCATTTTAAAGGCTAGCAAAAAAATTAAATAAAATTGCATTAATGTCTAAATCAATGCACACTGGAACTGAAGCGAGGGCAGAAACAGGCAGCCAGCAAAGCAGCTGTAGCTAAAATGTCTGCTATTGTCTGTGTTCAGTGTGCTTTCAGTGAAGTAAGGAGCAGGAATAGAAGCATGCAGGATTGCAGGAGACGTAGTGGAATGGCAGTGAACTACTGCAGCTCTGCAGTGCAGCATGCACTCAGTGCGTCGGTGTTTCTAAGACCCAGCAAAAGAGGAGAAAATGCTCATGCAGCCTCACGCAAAAATTCAGAATCTGCACCCCAGTAAGAAATGTGATGATTTGCAAAATACTTTCGGGTGTTTTTGCTGATTCAGCTTGAATTAATTATTTTAATTTAGGTTAAATTTTTAGAAATTTATAGAAGCAGACCCAAAAGGTTTCCACAGGACATGAAGGGAGGATGCACAAGGATGCTCTCTCACACAGTGCTGGGCACCTACAGGCTACTACGAGGAAACGCTCAATAACCATGACCCCCACCCACCTTTAGTCACTACTATCAAACCATCATCAAACTCTGTATCAATGATGCGATGAGACCCTGCACACATACAAACGCACACGCAAAACACCCACACACAAGACAGGGTAAGGTTGAGAGATTCTCCCACGCTGAGAGGGACACTGGAGAAGGCTCAGAACAGGAAATGTTAGCCACCACGCTCAAACACTGTTGGTTAAAGGACACACAGCCTGCAAATAAATGAACACACATACTCTGTAGTTTCTTGCTGGGGCTGTCTCCATGGACGTGTCTCCGTGGGAGGTATGGAGAGGGCTGTGGCAGAGGTATAGAGGACACGTCATGTGTCTGGAGCTTATACCAGTGAGGAATGTCGTCTAGCAAGGCCGTCTCCAACTCTATGAGGATCTGAGGGGGACAGAAAGGGAGGTGGCACATGAGAAAAATGGAAAGTAGAAATCTTCACATGTGTGAAGGGAGCCGGAGATCGACAGACGGATTGGTGCTGCAGCTGCAGTAATGCAGACGCTGCACCGGTCCGTCATGGTGAAGAGGGAGCTGAGTGTAAAAGCGAAGCTCTCAGTTTACCGGTCGATCTACGTCCCTACCCTCACCTATGGCCACGAGCTGTGGGTAGTGACCGAAAGAACGAGATCGCTGATACAAGCGGCAGAAATGAGCTTCCTCCGAAGGGTGGCTGGCCTCTCCCTTAGAGATAGGGTGAGAAGTTCGGCCATCCGGGAGGGGCTCAGAGTAGAGCCGCTGCTGCTCCACATCGAAAGGAGCCAGCTGAGGTGGTTCAGGCATCTGACAAGGATGCCCCCTGGGCGCCTCCTGGGGGAGGTGTTCCAGGCATGTCCCACCGGGAGGAGGCCCCAGGGCAGACCCAGGACACGCAGGAGAGATTATATCTCTCGGCTGGCCTGGGAACGCCTTGGTGTTCCCCCGGATAAGCTGGAGGAGGTGGCTGGGGAGAGGGAGGTCTGGGCTTCTTTGCTTGGACTGCTGCCCCCGTGACCCGGCCTCGGATAAAGCAGATGAAGATGGATGGACAGTTTCATCCACTCAGAGAATGAAACTTTAGGCAATCATATTCAGTAAATATACAACAAATTAAATCATATGTTAGGCAGACTTAGCAAATTTTGGGTGATGGGTGTTTCTCACAGTTCCCCCTGTTATTCTCTCCGCAGACCGGTATTGAGAAACATGTTTGCACCATTTAATTTTTAAAAACCATTTAAAAACTATAAAAACTGTTTTCACTTTCTTATTGCTTTTAGAGTAACAGTTCTTTTGAAGTTTATATTCTTTTATCTACTGTTTTCTTTAAGTTTGTATTGCTGTTTTGTGACTCCTGTAAGTAAAAAATCCTTTATGGATAAATTATGGTTGCTTGCTATCATCTTCATCTGTAATCAGAAGTGTCTTTAATTTAAAACATAGTAAAAATCCCAAGATTTCCAGTTATGGGATATTGGGAAACATTTGGGAGCTGGCAGAATTATTTATGTAATTATATTATCTGAAACTATTGATGTAAATGATCAATACTTGTCTGAATGAAGTCAGTAAGACCAGATATCTCTCATTTCTTCTCCAAAACAGCTCTGGCCTGCTGTTTCGACCATCTATTTATGAGAGGCAGCCAATGAGAGGAAAGTCTACTTAAGAGCCAAGAGAGGAGGAGCTTAAGAGGGGAGGGGCTAAAACATTGCTTCGAACTGAAGAGCTGGACTGGGAGGCATTACAAGATAAATAACAATTTGATAGCATATTAGTTCATTTTGAATTTGATGGCAGCAAGACAAAAGTTGGGATGAGGGAACAAAAGGCTAGAAATGTGAGGGCAGGAACAGTTTGCAACTAATTAGGTTAAATGGTAACAGCTCAGTAACATGACTGGGTATAAACGTGCATCTTATAGAAGCACAGAGGTTCATCATGTCCTTCTGCATTCTGATTCCAAAAGCTGCCTGACAGGACAGGATTTAAAACACGTGCACCACATCCTCTGGACTAAAGAAGAGTTCAAACACTGTCAATGCTCAACAGTATCTACACGTTTTAGAGCAATGTATGCTTTCCTCTATATGACATCAAGATTGACATTCAGGGAAGACCTTCCATTTTGCATCTAGATGATGCCAAACTGTATCGATTCCAACAGCATAGATACCGCAGATACATGTAGTAGAAGAGTTTGTGTAGTGATTAGGCCTAGCTGAGGTTCAGACTAACTAAAAACATCTGGAGCATCATGAAACCAAAGGTTCCACAAAGAAGAACCAGGACTGTTAAGCAGCTGGAGTCTTCTATCGGACAATAATGGGACAACATCCCTGTTCCGAAAGTGCAGCAAATCTAGCAACTGGTCTTCTCAGTTGATCTCCACCTTATTTTTTTAATTTTGAAAATGTAAACAATACGCTATACAAACACAGGCCATTTACCATCTACGTATGTTTCTTCTACTAAGGTTAAAATGTGGATTTAGGGAATTTGATGTGTCGATTACAAGTTTTACAGTTCAACCAATAAAATGGCTTTGATTGGACAGTGGCTGTCACGCACCTCGCCCAGGAATTCACTCTCCTCCTCCTGGACTCGAGGCTGGTCCCACACTGTGATCTCCAGCATGCGCTCTCTGAAGTCTCGCCGATGAACGTGGGAATAGATAAAGGTCTGGTTCCACTTGGGCTCAGCGCTCTTTTTCACCGTTTTAGTCCGTCGTTTACTCTTATCACTGGAAGAGAGAAGAAATCATGGATTCATTCAGTGTGCAAGAAGGAGAACAGTATGGTTTTTTTATTGTTCAAAATAAAAACTATAGATGAAGAAATACCCGTGAGATGCTCAATAAGTAAAAATGAACACAATGAGCTGACCTCCTATCAGGCAGGAAGTACATCTTGACGTAGGGGTTTCGAGGTCGTCCGTCTGGTCGGGGTGGCAGGTCTATGGCTTGAAGGACGTTGACAATCAGCTGATGGCCCACTTTGTCGTACCACAGCTTCACCTGTAACAATGCATAAAGGCAGTTAGCATCCTTTTGAATCTATATCCAGTCAGATGAACCTCATTGTGTTTGTTCCTGATACTCACAGAGAGCTGTCCAGGCAGAACCAGAGGAAGGTCTCTGAGAGTGCTGGGACTAGTAGGGGACATCACGGATATAGATGGACGGTCCATCTTCTGGGACTCAAAGGAGCTGGAGCCTGCTGAGGGATCAACAGAATGAATAATAGGAAAAAACATTAACTGAAAGCACATTTTAAAATATAAAGCCTGTTAAGCTGGTGATATAAAAACTTACTAGATTCTAGAGGAGGGTGGGAGGACTCTGGGATTCTTGGGATGTCTCTGTAAAAAGCAGAAGAGTCACAGAGTGTATACAAATCTTCCCTTACTATGTGTCATTCAGCTGGCATATATCTCTAAACAACAACAGTTTCTAACACAGTAGAAGAAGAAAAAAACCAGTCAGTCATATTAACAGTGTGGGGAAAACAGCAGGTGGCCAAGGACTGAAGAACAGGTGGAAAAAGGGGATGTCTTTCTTGGATCTGAAGGATTTCAGGGAAGATACATTGGGAAGGGGCTCCACCCATTTCAGCAACTCTACTTACTGATGTGCTCTATACACTTTTCTCAAGAGGTGTTTGGACATAATTCGGTTCACAGAGCTTTTAGATAAAGGAGACACATCAAAAGTCCGTCAGAAGGAAAATCAAAGCCGTGGTACTTTAACAATGACCAGTACACATTAGTAACAGCAAACTCACCCTATAGGTCTCGAAACAACAATCTCCACTTGAGGCTCAGCCTTGGATTCGAGAATGATGTTGTACACTTCTTTCTTGGTTGCTCCTGGCAACGACTTCCCGTTCCACTGCAACACCTCATCACCTGAAAACAAGATTAATGCCTCTTAAAGTCAAACTGAAAAATCAAATGTCCTCAGTGTGCAGTTAAGTGCAGCGCAACTTTTCTGCTGGGTGCTCCACACAAAAACCCGACGATGATCGGTCAAAGGCTGTATTCAGAAAATGGACATTGTCACCATAACATCACCCTTTGGTAAGAAAAGTCCTTTTGTGAAACTTCACGCTTGTTTGACGCTGGATGACCGAGGGGTGGATCTGATGGAGAAAACGAGGGGCGCTGCATGGTCTTACACTTAAAACTTGTCAATCACACGATTAACCACACCCTGTTTCATCCTCGTTTCTGACTTTAATGGAGAAAATAATTCAATTTAATGTGACTTTAGTGTGGAAACAATTTTATCTCTTCAATCTCCAGACTTAAAATAAGTGGTTGTCCAGCACATTAATGTGACTTATTGCCGCTTGCATCTTTCATGAATTATCATGAAAAGATCCAAGTTGTCAAATTAGACAAAAAAAAACACTTCTGAGAGTTTTCAGAGACTGGAAGGACTTTTTTGCACTTGATGAGACACATTTCTGTCTTTTTATCTGCCCATTTTTACATGTTTGGTTTGGTATGCCAACCCACTATTTAGCCCACCATAAAGGTCACTGCTGCCTGGGTTTTCTTGTTGGCTCCTCCTTTTTTTCCTGACTAAACCCACAGTGACAAAGCATTTTAGGTGAGTTACGATGATTTCCGACCTGTAAATTGAAAACGGAGCTCTCAGAACCTCCTCAAATGTTTTTTCACTCTCAGGAGTGATTTTAATACTATGTTCAAGCATAAATAAGGCCCTGGGTTAATACTTTCAGCAGCAGCTGAGTCGCTGTACAGTCAAAATTTACAGCCAGAAGTAGTCCCGTGACCTCAGCACTCCATACACTACTCCATTATTATTCAAATCATGACACAGCGTGGTCAGATAAGCAAAATGTAGCATGAATGATGACTGCTTTACTGCAGAACTGTACACATTGCCTGTTTATACATTCTGTGCTTCCTTATATATGCTCTAATATCACTTTAATCCCAACAGCTGACTGCGGTTGCTTACTTTTGCCCACATTCCTTTTTTTTTCTTTTTTAAAATGCTTTGAAAATTATTTATCAGTGTAAAACTGGCAAAACCAAACTCCTCAAAATAGCACTCCAGTAAAGGTCTGGTATAATGTGAATGCAGCACAAGCAGGCTGGTTGATTGCTTGAGTTCAAGTGGCAGCTCCCACAGACATTACACCAATAAAAACACCAGTATTATTACTATTCTGTAGGCCACCACAAGCTGCTACAAATGTTTAGCATTTTAGCATTTAACAATTTAAATGACAAGCACACTACTCATGCCTGCAAAGATGACAGGTACATACTGATGTCTCTGCAAAGGTTGATCTCACATGCATTCCTCGATGAAAGCAATACTGTCTGCAGTTCTGCATCTCCTGCAAAGGAACAACATGTTCTATTTTTTGTACCTGCACGTAGGTGTCCCACGACATCTGCCAGACTCCCTTTTTTAACTTTGGTGATGAAGGCCCCAAGTCTCCCTGTCTCCGTCATCTTCCCTCCTACCACCTGCACACAAAGATGAGACAGACGTACGATAAGATCAGATGTCACTCCGTCCTCTCCAACACTGCCTGTTGTCTCAGTGAGGACAGATCTTAATGTGAATGAATCCCTGCTTACTTTTAGTCCCAGGAGAGAGCCTGCCTCACGGGGCATGGCTGACCTCTTGCTCAGAGTGATCCGCCCAATCAGGTGGTCACCCTCTTTGGATGGCTGCCACGAAACTGGATGCTAAAGGGACAAAGACATGAGGATGTTTACAAAGCACATTATCAACTGTAAATACTGGTAATTTGGTCATGGGTCCCATGCAACATTAGACTTAATATAAGTGCAGCTATATGTGAGGAAAGGGATCAGGGCAGAGCTTCAGGAACAACCTGACTGGTGAAACTTACATGCCAAACTGCAGGATCTAGAGGATGACAGTCCCAGTCACCTGCAGGGAGAAAGAGTTCGAGAGGGAGGAATTAGTCATTTGTCTAAATGATGGTAAATGTAATTGTGCAGGTTGATTCCAAGCTACAAAAAACTCTTAGAAAGATGACTCAGTGATGCCATTAAAGACTGGGATCTGCTTTAATTCAAACAACATAACTGATGGGTTTATCATCCCATTTCTGTTTTATATGCCAGGGCCTGCCAAAGGCTTTCTTTGAGGTAGGTTTAATTTTAAAAAGCTAAAAATTCCATTTCGCCATCTATAAAAATGTAACTTAATTTACTAAAATGATCTGAAATCTCTTACTTAAAAATACTTTAGACTCCCTGTTGAAGCTCCAAAGCTCTTATATTTTAGTATTTAGTTTCTGTTAGTTATATTTTTTATTGAATTTTTATTACATTTTGATTTATTAGGCTTGCCATCTCTATGTCATCCTGTATCTTGTCAAGTGTTTCTGTTGGTGATTATCTGCTGAGTTGCTTCCTGTTTTATTTTAACAGTCATCTGTCTCTGGCGTCTTGTGATTAGTTTACTTCCTCAGGCATTGTCTTGATTGTCTTCAGCTGTGTCTCATCGCCCTGCTGTGTCAATTTCCTTAATAATTACCCTCATGACTTGAAATAGTGCTGTTTTCCCTTTTCTTAGCGTCTCTTAACGCCGTAGTGATGGTGTGATGAAGGCCTGTGAACGTGTCGGATCTTTCCAGCCAATTGCTTCACCAGAAGGCAGATCACACAAAACCCTGTTTAACAGCTCATTTTGAACTAGTGACATCTGCTGGTCATTCGATGTGCAGCAGCCCTGCTGTGATAATACATGTGGGCTACACACCAGTGGATCTGTAAACGTAATGATGTATCAACTGTAGAATGACCGTTTGATGTCCTGTGTAAAATACACGTATACACCTCCACCTAACCATCTTCTCTGAGACTGTTTTGAGAAGACGTGTGCTATCAGTGGGAGATGTCAGATCAAAAAGCTCTAACTGCTGATATTTTCCGCCTCTTTGTTGGCTCCATAATCTCGTTGCAGACTGCTGATGATCATCAGAATCACCTCAGACCACAAAAAAATTCCCGCATCTTTTCAACCGCTCAAATCCGGTTCAAATGACATGAAGCAGTCACGTCATTTCAGAGAAAGGGTTCCTCGTATATCTTTGGTCATGTGGTTTCTGAAGAAAACAATACAGGTGTTGGGATGGGCTTTATTTGGGCACGCCCCCTGTCCTTGACACAGGCCTCGGGGCTTAAGCATCAGACGAAACATCAAAATCATTTAGCCTGTGATCATTCCCTGTGTGCGTCCTCCCTTTGAGTCCATGTGGATTTAGTTTTGCTTTACGCTCCCATGTGTTTTTTGGACTTTGCAAACAGCTACAACAGCCTGTCTTCTGGATCTGTGTTTGGGTCCTTGGGACCTGCTAGCTGTGACTAAACTGTGCTCAGATGTTGTCTACTGTGGTTGTCGATTTAAAAAGGGAGGAGCTAAAACCCTGTGTTCCAACAGAGGATGACCTAAGTAGCTGCATCACACCCCAGTATGAGATAGATGAGGATTATTCTGAACCATGAATAATGCAAAGCTACTCTAGATTTTAAGAATACAAATATGGAGCTGGAAATGGGCAGCACAGTTTAGTGTGAGTCCTTTAACTTACATGTAGGATTAAAGTAATGTCATTCAGCAGTAACGGCTAAAAACATTCATAATCAAACTATTATCATTACTCTCCAACTTGGCCTGTCCGAGACTGGCTAAGTTGAACAGAGAAACGAGAGAGTGTCCGTGTATCCCAGCGCTCATTAACACTGACAGATGGAAAGCTAACTGGCTCTACATCAAGACAGAGGAGCCTGGGAGATTTGCAGTCATTGTTTCAAAGCAGGAGTAAAACAACAGCAAGAAAACATCTGATGGCGATTTTAAAATCCTTTGAGTAACTTCAGTTTGAGGTACGTGGGCAGGCAGAATAAACATTTTCTTTGCAAAATGCCTGCAGGGGGGAGAGAAAAGAACTTTTTGGTGGAAAGAGTAGAAACCAAATGAAGCCTATACAATCATGGTTGATGGAGAAATCAGGAAAAAAAAGTCTGAATGACTTGAGCAACTTTAGTGATGCTAACTGGAACACTCGAGAGGATAAATGCTGATGCCACCGTTTAGTGGATGAGCAAGCTGGGCAGATAGCTCTTTATTAACAGCTCTTTGTAGGTATCATTGTTTAAGACAAACACAGCATGTAAGTGAAAGAGGCTCCGCTTAACTGAAGATTGACCAAGTCCCTCTTACTGTCCTGAAGGCAGTCCTGGCTTACTCTCATTGGTAACTGACTGATATGGAAAAATCATCTGTTTAAGAGGAGCATGTGAGCATCCACGCTATCACCTGACCCTTCTTCAGCAGCTCTCTCCCTAGTCCTTCCAATCCACATCAGCGTTCTTTGGTATTTGTCTGTTTTAGTTTCCTGTTGTGTGGACTTTCACATTGTCATTTTCTCTGAGCCAGTTAGAGAAAACATATCAGCCTCAAAGCCACAGCATCCTATACTTTACTGGGCCTTCATGCAGCCACTGTCTGAAAAAAGCTTTTAGCTCTTCTGTCTTTGAGGCAGCTTTATGCCCGGGTGTCACGTCTATACTCACAGACGGAGCTGTGTGGCTGAGACGAGCATATTAAGGATCATCATACAGCCAATAACTGATATAACTCTCTGAAACCTGAGCGTTTGGCTCATAGGGCTTGACCACACATAAAAGGTTTAATACCAGCAATGCTGTGGTAATTTGTTAATAGAGTGCTTCAACATCAGAGTTGAATTGAATTTTATTATCATCATATTTATACGTGGATCCTAATGGTGATACACAACCCCATCTTATCTTTTTTATCACTTTTTGCAAAAATTTAACAAATGTTTCATTCATTATATTTTTGCATAAGTAAAATAACAGAATGTCACCTGAGCTTTTGAGGGCAAAGTTCAAATACGGCTTTAAACTACACCATATGACTTAGTAACTGTGTATATATGACAGAAAATAAGGAGAAACATATTAGAGCCACAGTGGTGCTACAGCACGGTCACTTAACTGGAAGAATGCTCTTGAATCAAACCTGCTGCTCAGCCTTTTTGCATCATTTGCTTTCAAGTTCTCTTGACATGCATGTTAGATTGCATTAGTGGCCATGTATTGCATGAACAATGAATAAAATGAATGGATGGACCCTGTTTTTTAAGATATCTCCAGATCACAAGAGTTACCACTATATATTGTAAGGTAAAGGACATACAATAATAATAATAAAACAATTCAGCTCAACCTAAATGACTACACTAAACGTATATAATATAGATTATATAATCTATATATATATGAATATATGTATATATATATATATGTATATATATATATATGTATAATATATTATATATATATTATTATATATATATATATATACATAGGACAAGAGCCCTGGACTGGGAACATGTCGGTTTTATTGAAATGACTGGTGACTCCAGTCATGTGAGATTTAGAGGAACATTCAAAAGAGACCTCTACTGAAAAAAGTTTATGCACATGGGTTAATCTATGTCTTGGAAGCAGAGCCTTCGTGCTTCCGTGATAATGCTTCTAAATAGCTGACAAATAAGTGCTTTCAAGAGGAGCTTCAAGATGAGTGCTGATTGGTGGGATTTGATGCAGTCTGTAGAACTTTTTAGTTACATCTCAGATCCATGTAATGACACCTAATTTCTTAAACCAAAAAGATCTCTGGCCATGTCTAATTTAAGATGACACCAGCATTAATCTGACAATGCAATGCCTTCCATCGCACAACGCATGCTACATATTATCCTGTGACTTTTTCTTATTGCCAGAGATGGTGAGAGTAAAAGGATACATCCTGTTTTGAGGCCCAGCTAGCTAAAGAGTGTTTAAAACAGCTAATAATCCCAATCCACACCATCTACACATTACCAGTCCCTGAGTTATAGTAAGCTGGATTAAAACATCTGGAACACCATCCTTCTGGGACTGACCAGTGAGAGATAAGCTGATGCAGTAACTCTGCCTCCTGAACCCAAACACTCTTGCGTGGGTTATTTTAGCACAGCCCTTGATTTCTGTTAGTGCGGGGAAATCCATAAGTGCCAAGAAGATAGCAGAAATCGTGTAGCGTGCAACTGCAACCAGGCTTGAATTTAGTCGGTGGGACATGGTTGGCTGTTGCAGCTGGCTGTTAGCAAAGCATTACATAGCCAGCGAGCCACTGACCTAATTCCACAAATCTGCTGGCCTAAATCACAGGGACTCTCCAAATAAATGAGAGCTGTCCTGAGAGCAGCAGGGTTTAGCCACAGCACAGAGGTGTAGATGACACACAGGGATAGTAATGCACTGCATGCTGGGTGGGCACTTTATCCTATCGCTTATCATATAGTTTCACAGTCCAAAACTAGAAAGTGTTGGTTTTAGAGTAATCTTGGGGGTCAAAATATATCTGGCTTTTCTCACATTGTTTGTAATTCCACTACCAATGCAGAATGCAGTGGAAAATATATCTATGAAGTGTGAGATTATGTTTTTATTTTACCTTATATCTGATCAACAGTGGTTAAAAACTGTGGCAGATCTCTTGTCCGGTCTATTGATCTGTCTGTCCCCCAGAGTATTAGCAGCAGATCAGATTTCAATTAGTCATCAGATCTGCTGTGACGCTAATCTTGCTCAGAGCATGCCGGGCGCACAGTGTCGGCATGGTTCTTGACAATGATGAGAATACAGGAGAGACCACATTAAAGTCCCGTGTGTTTCATTTACACAGAATGAGGATTACATGAGGAAACAAAGTATGAACGTGTGGTCTAGATAAGACCAGCCAGAGATCATTAGCAAAATATAATGAGAAGACTCGTGAGTGAAAAAGAAGCCTCAACAAGTAAGGAAAAGTTTCTAATGTACAGAAATGGATGGTGGCTAACGGTGTAAGGAGAGGTTCAGCTTAGTAAGCACATCTGTCGGACTGACCTTTCTCGCTGACACTTTCCATGTCCACGTCCTCACAGCTGGTGTACTCGGGCGTGGAGCCGCCCTCCTCCTCTGAGCTGCTGATGGACATCTGCCTCTTGTTGACTCCGCGCTTGCCCTTGTATGACTGTGGAGGGGGTGGCCGCAAAGACTCCGACTGGTCCGAGCCCTGAGAGTCCTTCCTCAGCAGGTTATCCACCCCACCCTTCTCTCTTGATGTCCGCGTTCCGTCTTGGGGTCCATGCTCCAGGCGACTGTTGTTTGGACCCCAGTCTGAAGGCACAGGTCCCCCAAGTTGGGACCCTGATCTTCCCCCTCCACTGGCAGGGGAAGCCCCACCTACAACCCCCACGGTCCTATCTGCGGAGTAGGCCCTGTGATTCTCCATGAGGGCCTTGCGGTCTCCTTCCCCACCTCCACCCCTCCTGGCAAGACGGTTTTCCGGCACCTCTCCTGTGCTGCCTCCACCCCCACCCCCTTCACCAGGCCCCAGTCCGACCTCATTTATTGCAAGATCACTGTGTCGTCGCTCATGCCGCACCTTCGACACCTTGGCGTGCATGCGCATCTCCTGCTCCTCCTTCTGTGGTTTGACTGGGTATCTTGCCAAGTTGGGGTCACTGCGATAGCGGTTCTGAAACTCCTCCTCGCGCCGCTGCCGTTCCCTCTTCTCCTCATCCTCTGGACGCCTGCGGTGTGTTTCTGAACGACCCAGGTTTTCATCCCCGTCCTCGTAGTCCTGAGAGTGGATCTTTTCTAGCCGCCTTCCATCTCCTAACCGTCTCTCTCCTCTGTCTCCGGGACCCACCCGCTCGTCCAGAGATGACTGTGAATGCAACTTGTCTGCTGGTCTCCGGGCAGAACCACGTCCCATGCCTCCCTTACCGTTTTGCTCATGGAAAGAAACTGGTCTTTTCCTAAATGAGAAAAGAAATTAGGTTATTTTATAAAAGCAAATACAAACACAGGAGCATTCTTTGCATGCTTTTTGACAGAAATATTTTGTGCTTTTTATATATTCTTCCTTTTTTTTATTTTCAAAATCTTCTTAGTTCAGTCACGAAGGGCTATCAACAGATTAAAAAACTACTAACCAGGATGAGACAGCTATGAATTCTTACCTAACACACCCAAAGAATTAAAACAAAGGGATTGAGTCAAAGACCTCTCAAGACCTGCCTGTGACCTACCTTCTTCTCTGGTTAAGCTACTGCAGACTCAGAGCTACATAGCGGATTAAAAAACACAACAAGGGCTTCAGCAAATTAATATACCATGAAAACTGAATCCTGCAGTACTGCTAGCTTTCACCAATTCCTATGTTAAAAACGAAAAGAGGCAAGGTTGTAAATAAAGAGGAATCTCACTTTTCTCTTGGGGGTTCACTTTGAGAGCGAGAGCCAGGCATGGTGTCAGCACCCTTGAGAGCAGTGACACCGCCGGGCGGATGTGTCCCGTCTGGTGGCCCTGTGTTGGCGTTGGTGCTGGACGGTGGGGCTTGGGACCTGGAGCGGAGTAGCTTCCTGTCCCGTTGGGCCTCACCTCCCGTGGCTGGATTGTTTAAAGAGGTGTCCAGGCTCCCGGGCCGCACCCCTGACCCCGAAAACCATTCTCCTGATTTGGTGAGAATCTCCTGTTGCTTACGGCACTGGTTGCATACCCACATTACCTGGAAAGGTCGAAAGGGAAGAAGATTTTGGCAAACTCATTTCAAGTCACCTCTGAACATCCACCAGGTCACCAGCAACACATCTGGGCTTAGCACTGAAATGGGTTTTTTTTTAGTTTGACGGATGGGCAACATGCTTAAAAGGTACATTTTCAGAAACTTTCTTAGCATCTAACTTTCCATAATTCCATAAAAATAGGTGGATTCTAACTTTATCCAAACCCTACCCCTAACTCCAGATGGGTTGTGAGTGACCTGCTTGATGTCAGGAGGCCAAATCTGCAGCATTAAAACATCTGTACAACGCAGGTGAACTTTAATGTGCTTTTAACTTTGCTGGAGCAGAATCAGTTTTTCATAGACATTAAGAGTCTTGCTTGTGTATCAACACCCAACTCTAATATAAAAAAATGCCAGTCCCATACTTGCTTCTTTCCATCCTTTGCAAAAACAAATAAAATATTAAAGAGCACCATGATGTGATAAACTCTGCTGTTTGATCTATTTTCTGTAAACACAGCTTGTTGGAGGCTGTGGTCAGACGGTCCCGTAAGAGATCATGCTTTCCTCTAAAACAGCTCTAATTTTATCGATAATATTTTTATGATTTGAATTTAGAAGCATACCTCAGTTTGCTGATTAATTTAAAAGCAAGAACTGAAAGGGAAAAAAAACCCCAGACTAGCGGGCTTCAGCGGCTCCACGTGGACATCATGATCTCATCTACCGAACTGTTACACCTTCATGGGTACTGCAGCGTTCTTCTTTATTAAGATGCATATTTTTCTGGATTGAAGAAGATAATATAACAAAAGATCTAATATAGGAGTTATAAGGCCAGACAATAATAGAGATACAGAGCACATAGAACTGTGATTTCTAACTGTGTCACATGAAAGTTCAAACATTTTTGCTCCATGAGGCCATCATTCTTACAACTGTTAAAACCAGCTACAAATTAAGAGTGACGATTACACCGATTTAAGATAAAAATGATTAAATCCCAGTCTTTATCATCTAAATCAAACCCACAGACAACATCAAATACTCACATGTAGCCATGGCTACAGAATATCACCTCACTTTAACAGCACGAAAAAAACAGGATTTATCTCCCTCCGTATTTATAATCCCGCCGGTTTATTTTGCGGAGAATAAATCCACCGCAGAGAGGAAACACAGTGGTCCTTTGTATTACGTCGCAGAGCCTTGGCACAAAGTGAAAACAAAACACCTCTGGGACCTTTGGAAAGCCCCAAAATGTTACCCCTCCTTGACAGGCAGTGAGGTGTGCTGTTAGCAGTCAGTTTAGCAGTTAGCTCTCAGTGAGCCAAAGCACATTCATCATGGCCTGATTGAATCCTAGTTGGCGCATGTCCAGACTAATCTAAAGTAAATCAGCTGCCCGCACGGCCCACAGCTGTCGGGCAGCCGCCCAGCAACACACTACAGTCTCTTTCTCTCTGTGTCTTTCTCCACCTCAGCGGAGGGGCATCAGATTAGCAGTGCCCAGTAATCCCATCACCCTTATACAACTCATCATCAGCTGACAATGCCAGCTCACAATTCATAGCTTTTAACCTATAGTGCACCATGCCTCCCCTCCTTAATGTGCATGATGTGTAACATTTAACCCAACAAACATCTGCCAAATGGCCAAATCTTATTATTTTGATACCAAATGTTAAACCAACTTTTAATTGTGATGGCACTGTGGCAACCTTTCTTCAGATCACCTACATCCCAGCTTTTTTTGGTAAGGCGCCAACTGTAATCTTTACTTTCTTCAACCAGAAATGAGCTGAAGTGCTTAAACTTACTCTGCACATGCCGGGTAAGATCGTCCCCGTCTGGGGAGCTGGATCATTTCACTGTGTTAGAAGTTTTGAACAAAAGTTAAACAAAACAACTGATGGTTTCTAAAAAATCTGATGCCAACCTGCAGGACTGTTCTGGTAGATGTTTACTTCTCTGAATAGAAACATCAGTGACTTCATCAAAAAATGCAAAAACGATGTTGGTCCATCTTAAAAAAATAAAAACCAAAAGCCATGGATGTGTCAGGATCCGAATGAGTGGATCTGGTATTTTCACATTGCTGTCCTGTTTGTCTGGGCGCAGCCCTGGTTCCTTACCTGCCCTACTCACCAGCGAGGCTATATTTAAGACCAGCGCAGCCATCTATTCTCCGGCCAGTTCGTCAGCTACCTCATGGTGGTAACCAGGCCTCATTGTTTCTTATTTTTGTGTTCATGCTCTGTAATTTCCTTGTGTCTCCAATTTCCTTGTCAAGTCCCTGCTTCACTCTCCTGCAGTTCAATTACCTGGACCCTGGTCTCCTTGAAGAGTCTCCACACCCCGCCTTCGTTCCTTGGTATTCCCAATTTCTACCAATATTTCATTCTGAATTACAGCCAGGTAGCCGCACCGCTAACTCACCTCACCTCCACCTTTTGTTACGCTAAAACAGTTGTTCACCTTTGCGCCCATTTCAGTCTACCCTGACACCTCACAGCCATTCAGTAAAGCGGTAGATCAGATTCTAAAGTTGGGGGTCATACTGTCAACATTCGGGGCCCCAAGGTAAGCTCTAACCCTGTGCCTTCTTGCATTGCCTTACTCCTACGATGTGAAATTATAATGTGGGTGACCAGGAGCTGTTAGCAGTCAATTGGCCCTAGAAGAATGGCGGGACCTGCTTGAAGGAACTGAGCAACCTTTCACTGTTTGGACAGACCACAAAAATGTAACCTATCTAAGAACTGCTAAAAGACTTAACATCTGCCAAGCCCGTTAGTCTCTGCTCTTTGGTCACTTTAACTTCTCAGTCTCATATTGTCCAGGTTCCAGGAATATCAAGCCTGATGCCTTGTCCTGCCAGTTCCCCCTGTTGGGGAAACCTGCAGTCAGCTGAGACTGAAGAAGTCACTTGGATGAGTGACGAAACGTTTCTCCCACTTAAAACGCTGCGTCCAGATGAACAGAATCAACCTTTTGAGATTTCCTTACCTGGATGATTGAGCATGCATGAAGACAATGATTGTTATGCTTGCTCCAACCACTGATACCCTCTCACAGATCATGGTCATCCATTCCACTAGATTTTGTCACCAGTTTACCTGCATCTTCCTGGAAAACAGTTATTCGTTCCATAATAGACAGATTTTCCAAATCAGCTCATTTGATTGCTCTAGATAAACTGCCTTTTGCCTAAGAGACTGACAAGCTTCCTGTTGATCAGGTTTTTTAGACTCCACAGCATTCCTATGAAGATTCACAGGTTTGGAAAGCTTTCTGCTCTGCACTGCCATGGTCAGCCTCCATTTTCTGAGTACCATCCGCTGGAATCAACTCTCTGCTGCATCACTACACAAAACCAAGCAACCTGGTCTTCACATCTTCCTTGAGTAGAGTACGCACAGAACTCACTTACCTCATCTGCAACTGGTCTTTTGCCCTTTGAAGCCTCCCTAGGTTACTGACCTCTCCTGTTCCCATAAGTCGAGACTGACCTCGCGGTTTAATCTGGTCCAAGTCCAACGCATCTGGACTTGGATCAGGGAGGATCATCAGTGCTGCTACACAGAACGATTAAGATCTAATGCCTGCTCCCAGGTATGAGCCAAAACAAAAGGTATGGCTCACCGCTATGACATTCCTCTGAAATCGCTTTCCCGTGAACTTGCTCCATGTTGCATCACTAAATATAAGAGATTGAATGTGTCCTTATTCCTGCGGCAGTTAGTTCTCGGACGCTCACTTGGTTGCCTTACCCAGAGCCTCACGACATCCACCTGTAAGTAAGCCCGCAGAATCAATATTCCTCTCTCCTCCTTGCATTAACTCCTCATTCTCAGAACTACAGACGCCCTCTTTCCCAGTGCCTCCATGTCAGAGACTCTGCACTACGTACCCTCGTCGTGTCATTTCTAATCTCCGTGTTCGCAATAAAGTTTACTAATATCTTATGGCTTTTCCGTTTGGTGTCTGCATTTGGGTCCACTCCCATGTTCTGGCCTCAGGCCCCCCTTGACAGGATGATCCATGACAAGGTCTCTGTGCATGGACCCCAGCCTTGACATCCGATCACCTGGAGACTTCAACGTGCACGCTAGACAGTCAAACAGGTGAAGACAGAATATAGACTTTTATTGGACCCCCTATCATGGCTCTCACATCCTGCCTCCATCACTCTGTCTCCCTTGACAGTTGGAGCTTCTACATCAGTAATGCAGACCAGGACTGCCCTTACAATAATGGGTTAGGCCTTCTCCAGCTCATAAGAGTCGACTAGCATTCAGATGGATGCACTACACGGCTGTGTTCTCAGCCCCTTCCTCTTCCTCCATTCACTCTACATCATGACTGCTAAGCGCAAAAAGCCACAAACATCAATGTAAAGTCTGACACAGCAAAAACTGTTACTGTTAACATCACAAACAACAAACACAGATAAAAATGTCCCTGGATCCAGAGACTCAGTTCGTCCTGTTGTGGAGAGAGTTGGTTTTTTATCCTCAGTGGAGGTATACAGTCTTGCTTTTATTTTTGATTTCATTTCTTTTTTGAAACACATTATTTTATAACCTAATGCATACCAAAGTAAAATTTCAGTGAAACATGAAGGAATAAAAAAAATAGATACCACCCAACCCCAATCAGGACAGAGCATTTTCAGCACTTATATTGAGCTTCATTCAGCACCATCTGCAGTGTGCGTTGCTTTGCAAGTTGTTGCCACTTTCATCCCCAAGCTTTATCCTGAAATTAGATCATCATACAGAAGACGTGTGTCAGTGTGCTCTGGATCCAGAGAGAGGCATTTATCAAAGCACACCTCTGTGTATGCTTCAAACCTTGCACCATGGATGGGGGAGGGTAGTAAACAATAAAGAATTTATAGGAACACACGCACAAACAAACACACACACAAACACACACAAAGGGGATGTAATACATTTAATCCTTTACTGGAGTGATTGCACTCTGTGTTCCTAGAT